GCCTCCCAACCACGGCCCCAGATTTAGAGGAGAATCATTTTCCTGTGCTGATTAAGACCGGTGCTGGATCGGGCAGCAAGAGACGACGCTGCGTCTGCTGCCAAGTCGCTGGAAGAAAGAAGTTTGTGGCGCAGATGTGCAGTGGATGTGACGCGCCGCTCTGCGTGGGGAAGTGTTGGGCTGATTATCACACTTCCTCAAGTTCGAAGGAACTGAAGTGAACGAAACTTGGAGCTTAATCGGTTCGAATTATGATAAGCTCTCAGTGGATGGCGCCGAGTGGAGAGAGCAGAGATCTGAATAAATTTACAAGTCCCGGGCGCATTGAGCATTGCTAATGTTTTTTAATAATTTGTAAATAAATAAAATTTACATCTTGCCTGCATTTGTTTGTGTGGCCAATCATGAAGTGGTCTTGAAATTAGACCTATGACACTTCATAATAAATAGTTAAATACGGAACAGTTCAATATTTTTGTCTTCCGTTCGTTAGCCGATTTTTATTGTTTTAGCTGCTCTAGACCTAACAACTCTAGAGCAGCTGCTTCGTGGATGAATCTACCGTGCCCCTGGCCTGGATATTCAAGTATTCAGAAGTGGAAGTATATGAAGTCCGCACCAGAATGTTACTTCGCGAGAGCGCCGTAATACAATCTAGCTCTGTCGTGGCCGCGGCTAATTGCAACCCTTACCCAGCTCACGGAAGAGCCAGCTTCTAAACGTCCTTATTGGTCCATATGTTATTGGGCACTACTAGCAATAAGGGCCGAGTCACACCGGAATGGCAGCGGCCGGCAGCGTCGCGGCGAGCACTTTTACTGTGAAATAATTTTAAACTTTATCTATATACTTAAAAGATCAGTATCGCTTGAAAAGCTAGAAAAGGTCGCGACACAGCCGCCACCCGCCCGCGGTGAAGAGTCTTGTCGATGGTTCTGCCCGCGGCTGCCAGCGGCGACACGACGCCGCTCGCGGCTCCGCTGTCATATATAATAAACAATTCCATCATGTTCACTCCAAACACGTTTTTTTTTATTTATTGATGGGTGGACGAGCTCACAGCCCACCTGGTGTTAAGTGGTTACTGGAGCCCATAGACATCTACAATGTAAATGCGCCACCCACCTTGAGATATGAGCTCTAAGGTCTCAAGTATAGTTACAACGGCTGCCCCACCCTTTAAACCGAAACGCATTACTGCTTCACGGCAGAAATAGGCAAGGTGGTGGTACCTACCCGCGCGGACTCGCAAGAGGTCTTACCACCAGCAATTACACAAATTATAATTTTGTAGGTTTCTCGTGCTTTGCTGTGGGCACATGCTTTGAGCCTCAAGATGACTACAAAACTTGCATACGTTCTGTCATGACGTATGTACACACATAAATTCTCTCTAGGTCATCCAATCCCGTTTCTGCAGGATAGCTGTCGGAGCACTGTGGTATGTGATAGTACCGATAGGTATATGTATAGTACCGAATCGTAAGTATCTTAAGGAAGCACCAGAATGCTACCTCGACAAAGCGGAGCGACACGAAAACCCTCTTATCGTGGCCGCCGCTAATTACTTATCTGACCACGACTAGGTGAATCCAAGCCGCCGCGCCGTCACCCGAAACATGTCTTGTGGGATCCCCCAGATTCGGTCTCGGTGCTTTTAGGCTTCTTAAGACCCGGTCACCGTCCCCGTCGAACTTTTTGAATTTCGACGTTCGACGAGCGAACTAACTCATAGACACAGCCCACTGATCGCCGGATCTTCTCAGTGGGTCGCAATTCCGATCCGGTAGTAGATTCTGCGAAGCACTGTTCTTGCTAGGGCAAGTGTTTTTTTTTTCTCTATTGCTTAGATGGGTGGACGAGCTCACAGCCCACCTGGTGTTAAGTAGTTACTGGAGCCCATAGACATCTACAACGTAAATGCGTCACCCACCTTGAGATATAAGTTCTAAGGTCTCAGTATAGTTACAACGACAGAAATAGGCAGAATGGTGGTACCTACCCGTGCGGACTCACAAGAGGTCCTACCACCAGTAATTTTGCGGGTTTCATTTTTATTACACGATGTTATTCCTTCACCGTGGAAGTCAATCGTGAACATTTGTTGAGTACGTATTTCATTAGAAAAATTGGTATCCGCCTGAGATTCGAACATCGGTGCATCGCTCAACACGAATGCATCGGACGTTTTATCCGTTAGGCCACGACGACTGTGTGTTAGTAAATTCCCTCAGGTTGACCCCGTGAGCTCACCTACCCGTCCGGGCGTAGCTGGAATAGCCTCTTATGCTAGCAGCGAATAGGTAGAAAAAAAGGTTAATGGAAATGAGTCAAACTCTGCTCAATTAGAAGTCTTTTTTTTTAATTCCCTTGTAGGCAGACGAGCATACGGCCCACCTGATGGTGAGTGGTTACCATCGCCCATGGACTTCAGCAATGCCAGGGGCAGAGCCAAGCCGCTGCCTACAATTCTTTGATATTAAGTTTATATTTTCATATTTAGTTTAGTTTGTTTAGGATTAAGAGGTTATGTACATATAGTCCGCCACAGCGCTTTATGCCATTTACCCACCGTCAGTACAGACCTGCAACAGCTCAATCCTGCTCATCAACCTTGCCTCGATAGGAAGGGAGATTAAAACCCGGGCAAAGGGGTATCCCGAAGCCCGTTCCGCGCTCCCGTAAGGGGACGCGACGACCCGACAGATTGATGCCATTTGACACAATCATGACCGTTTAAAACAAACCATGCGAGAAGATTGCCATGGATGGATGATTGGCGAAGGCAGTCGACAAAACGAAAAATCTTAGTTACAAAAACTGACTTCAATAATAGAAAAGAACTATCATTGACAAAATATAGATCTAGGCGAAAATAATAACAGAGACCTTTCATGTGGATCGGAGATTGATCAAAGGGGATTGCCCACTCTCCATAGTGTGCTAGGCCCAAGATGGACATCAAATATTACTATAAAAATGTACTGATTCAAATTCTTAAATGTATTGGATATCTAAAAAATATATTGAAATTGACGCCACTATTATAAAAAATATAATAAAAATAAAAACTCGTTTTGAGGTTGATTTTCTATAAAAATAAGTGTCGGATTGTAAGATACTTCAAGAACTTTTCTTTTCTTAATGTTTAAGATGTTCCTAATGTATTTTTATCCAATAGGGTATAAAAACACACTTAATTCTTTAAATATCTATATTTTCTTCATCTTCATACACAATTAGTATCGTCTAAAAATAGCAAAGGAGAGCATATACACGGTTTTAAATCTCGGTCAGGGTAAAACCACAATTCACACAATGTTTTTTAGTCGTAGTATGAAACGTTATTGATAAAAGTAAAATAAATCGAAGAAAAATCAAAACACATCCATTTTGTACGCAAGCACAACACCACAAGCAGCAAGCGAAGTGTCAGTCAGTCAGATTAAATTCAGTGTTGTCAGTATAAAGAAAAATAATTACATGAAATTCATATATCGATTATTTTTTTAAATAACCGATAATTGATTTATATCTTAATCTTTTTTTTACGAGTACACATTATTTTTTATGTTTTTGTTTTAGTTGTACATATTTAAATAACAATACTAGTAAAGTTTTTTTTATTGCTTAGATGGGTGGGCGAGCTCACAGCCACCCTGGTGTTGCTAAGTGGTTACTCGAGCCCACATACATCTACAACGTAAATGCGCCACCCACCTTGAGATATAAGTTCTAAGGTCTCAAGTATAGTTACAAGTTAAAGTCCAATGGGTATGTCTTCGATGTTATTTTATGTGCATAAAATCCATTAAAATCGTTTGATTAATGATAATACTTAAAATGATTTATTTATATGTTTTATTTATATACTCAAAATATTTACTTCATACGTAAAAGGATTTGAAGCTGGCAATATTTTTCCCGCAAAAATAAAAATCCTTGTTTTTTCAATAGAGTTACTTTTTTTAAACTACTTATTGTAAACTGTAGTGGCGCTTATTTGCAAGAAAGTAAATGCATATTTATTTATGACAAAATTAATGCACTAAGTATTTTTTCTATAATCTATTGTCCGCTTTGGGCCTAAAATGGGCCATCCCCTTTGTATTTTTGCCAGTTAAAACTCTTTTTCAAGTTATTTATAATTTATTTTATGTATTTTTGGATTATCCCATCTTTTTGTTTAATATTTTAGTTACATCTAGAACTTATGCCGGCCACTGACATGCGCGCAAACATTCGTACATTGTACGAATGTTTGCGCGCATGTGAAGGGCCGTCAAACATTCATTCGCAAACCTAGCGGCTGTACAAATGTGTTTGCATACTCAATTTGCGAACCCGTTTGCGCTTCCTCCTACACTTGTTTACGAATGTCTCACGAATTTCTCCTCCTTTTTAATTCGTCAATAGAAAATTGAAGAGAAAAAGAGTTTTTAATTCTTGCCCAGACATCATTAACAGCCATGCTGTTTTTATGGGATTTCTTTTGATGAAGATACGCTACACAGTAGACGTCACGAACTATGAAAGTGGCGTATAGTATACGTCTGTTACCTTCGCAATCGTCGGCGCAACTAGGCAAGCGAATGTGTGGGAGACTACGCGAAGGTTCGCGCGCTTTGATGTCTGTTAAAAAACCGACACAGCTTGGAAAACCACGAATGCAGCGAAAACTTTGCATAATCATTCGCAAATGTCGTCCCTCACTTGCGGGTGTATTCGTGCGCATGTGAGTGGCCGGTGTTAGGATCGAGCCAAACACGTTTTCAATATTGTATAGCTTACTGAATGAACTCATGGTACACCTGGTGTAAAGTGCTTACTGGAGTTCATAGACATCACAATTCAAATACCTAAGTAGAAAAGTAAATATCAGCGCCTTTCCATCATCGATCATGATCAACTGACAGATGTCAGGTCAGGATTTCGTTTCCCAACGGCCATAATAACAGTCAATAAATATTTTATTTTCATAGGTATTTCGAACCATATGACATAGATAATACACAAAAACATTAAGAAAATATTAGTTACGGAAAGTAGGTGATTGAATCCGAAAATGTTTTTCTTTTATAGTATTTTGCGAACTAATAATAATTTACGTTGATATCTAAAGACACCGAAAACACAGTATTCGACGAAAGACTGTTTTGATGAATTTTCGATGAGAAACTAAAAAATTGATTGATTTTTATTGCGTTGGCACCGCTTCCACACTTCCAAGATGCAACGGAAACCAGGCTTCCCAGTCACTAATTGCAATATAAAAATGGTAAATTCTATCTAATATTACGTACTTTAATAACCGCAAATGAGTGAAACATATTTCCTTATAAAGCTGCTGAAAAGTTTCTGAAGCGTAATAATTGCATGCAACACAGTATTTGGACGAAAATGCATTTGTTTAATGATCATCTGAAAAAAGTATACATTGTAGAAAATAGAATAGAATACCATATTGTTAATTGTGTTTGATTTAAGCTTTTGAAACTAAAATTACTTTACGTGTTAAAATTATTATAGCAGTTGAACATTGTAAATAAAGTGTTGTATAAGTAATTAATTAACTTGAAAATAATTAAAAAGTAATTAACTTGTAGCTGTATGAAATTAAATTCCTATTGTTTTACTATTACATTTTTATTGCCATAAGGGGGCAATGAATGTACAAGCAAAAGCATACCTACTGTTAATCAATTGCTTAAACCTAAAGATACCCTTTTCTGAATGGCAGTTAGGTCATAATGCTAATTGTATCAAAACAAATGCTATCCAATCCTTGCAACCTGAAACATGAGCATTTCATGATGCTTATGATGTATGTAGACAATCAAAATTAGGGCATTTTAGTAATTATACAAGAGTAATAACATAGTTTTTTTTTTTCTGGTTTAGTTTTGACAAAATCTTGTGATGATCGACAATTGAGGGAATATGAGATTCACAAATTGATTACCTGTTATTTAGATATGAAAAGTTCTAGAAATATTTTTTATTTCATTAGAAGTTACACTAGTAATTTAATTTTCTTTCATAATTTCCATTTTAAGTTAATAATCAAAATGTGAATGTGAAAGAATCCTATACATATTTACAGCCCGACTGCTCACCAAATTTGCCAAATCCTGACAACATGCTTGAAGATGACCATGAGCAGCATCAGCGTAGACAACAGCTCATCAACTATGGTCACTCGCAGTGGGGTTTCAACAATTGGAGCTGGAGTGTCACCAAACAAGAATTGGGTTTGTTTGAATTTTTAACAAACCTCTTGAATGAATTATTTAAAACTACCTTCTATACAAAAGAATAGATTCTTTTAGTTACGGTACTGTAAACAAGCATAAAGGTTAAGTGGCACGGTGTACTCATAAAGACAGAGGTGGAGCTAAAATTATGCAGCTAGATATCATTTTTTCTTAGTATTTATTTAACTCATTCATTTTCATGTACGCGTTTTGCTATTTCAATTGGTTTTCATGTTCCTACAGTACTTTTGGCTGTGGGTTCTAATGTTTTTGACTTAATGTTTCAATAAAAACCTTAAGTGGTATTTGAGAAAACTATTAAACTAGTAAACACATTATTCTATTATAACTTTTAATTGGATAACAAGTAAACTGTACTCAGATGGTGAGCTAGATAATTTTGAATAGAGATGATGGAATCGTCTAGAATAATTTCTCAACTCATAATTTGAATAATAAACATGCTTAAAAAATAACGTGACAAAACTGATAAAACATTGAAATATTGTCCAAGGACAAACTGTATTGCAGATTTCATTGACTTCAACAACGGGAAGTATTACGCCGGCGTCGTCGCTTTTGTATCGATCAAAGTAAAGAGTTTCGATATATACAGGGAAAATATTGGCTACGCCACTTCATTCGCCACCACTAAAGGATTTGCTATTTACAAGTCACGGAAGGTATTTATTTATTCATTTATTGAAAATTTTCATACAAAACGAGCCATTTTATAAATTGTCTAATTTATTTTGCAGTGTGCGGTAACAAATGCTCTTCGAGAGACACTTCTCAGCTTTGGAGGCAGCGTTGCTGCTGATCTGATTGACCTATTAGAAAACAAAACTGAGTCTGTCCTTATTGGAACAGAATCCCACTCTGAAAATAACTTGAACATTGCCAACCGGGCTGAGCTGAAGCCGTCTCCCGTGAAACCGAGGAAAGAGGGTGCTCCAGTGGCTCGTGCGCAGCCCATGCTGGCGGCACTACCGCCCCGCGCTCCGCCACCCGCACCGCAGCCCGTTCCCGCGCCCCCTGTGAGGCCTAACTCCAACGTAAGTTTCGTACTACAACCGCTACAAATGTACGCTCCAAGGCTAGCACCTCCACCAGTGGGTGCTCCGGTATTCCCCAACTACTACGAGTGCTCTGGTCCGTGGCACTTCGCCTACGAGTCTTACGACCGCTCCCCTCCCAATGTGAACCTTAACTTCGGCATGCCAGCCAAGAACCTCGTGGTCGGCGGTCGGCCCCCCGAGCCTAATCCCCCGCAGGGTTGCTGGATCAAACCGACCATTTTTTACGACGGCTTCTGGACGGAACAGAAAGTGAAGAAATGGGTCGCGGAGCAGGTCGAGAAGAGGTTTCCGGACGACGCGGGCCACAAGTCAACGTCTCCGGGTGACGTCCAACCGGAGTCGAAATCGTAGTTTTAGTTGTGCCACAAAATCATTCTCTAGACCTCTTCTAGACGTGTATCAATTAAATGATTGTTGTTCGTTGACTACATCAGAATATTTTACAGTTATAAAGATTTAATATGAATTCAGTAATGTTAACTATGTGTAAATAACTTAGCATCAGTAACAATAATATTAAGCGGAGTAAGCCGGTTATGTCCGGAAATCGTACAGTTAGTACCGTAGTACCGTTAGTACAGTAGTTATCCGTGAACATTGTAGTATTTCATCAGATATTTTTTTTTATCTGACTATCATCTTAGTTTGACTGTATGGCCTATATTCCCTTTGCCAGCTAGAGATGTTCGATCACGATGACAAAAAAATGCATAGCCCAGAACGACAAAAATACATTAATACATTTGTATTAATGTAAATAAAAAAATTTTTTTAAACCTTTGATGTACCTAATTTAATTTGAACTAGCAGGCTATCGGTACTTGAATCTCGAACAGAAATTAAAAAATATTGTTTTTCGAATTTAATAGAATAGGTTGCGTTAGGATTTTCTAGCGTTGAGAAAGTGTTTTTAACTGACCTGTTTGTGCGTTGCGTGCGTGCGTTGCGTGCGTGCGTGCGTGCGTGCGTGCGTGCGTGCGTGCGTGCGTGCGTGCGTGCGTGCGTGCGTGCGTGTGTGTTTGTGTGTGTATATGTGTCATACAATAAAGTATTACATTATACATGTCCTATATTTTATATATTGCACATAATACATCATATCTACAATTAGGGCGCGATTCAGTGGGCGTCAGCCGCGTCGCGTCGTCCGGTGAGCTGAGACCTTCAAATAGTCCCAACACAAAGACAGGAACACGAATGAATTTTAAATCGTTTTGCTTATTCTGTCATCTGTGTCGGCGTTCCATTGACCTGGCTTTGTTATGACTACCGGACCATGAATGCTGTGATATGTCTCTCTCATCGTACGCTACAGTTCCGTTGTTAATAAGTTCGCAACATTAACTTTGTTAATGANAAGTGGTTACCGGAGCCCATAGACATCTACAACGTAAATGCCGCCACCCACCTTGAGATATGAGTTCTAAGATCTCAGTATAGTTTCAACGGTTCAAACCGGAACCCATTACTGCTTCACGGCAGAAATAGGCAGGGTGGTGGTACTTACCCGTGCGGACTCACAAGAGGTCCAACCAATATTGGTATTGAAAGAAAGTTAATGGATCCATTGCGTGTGTCGGGAGTTCTGCTGTCCATATACACCAGTAGAACCTCAATAAACTCAGCCGCCATTTTGACTTGCCAAATTTTTTTTACTGTCAATATGAATCACTCTTCATCTTGCCTTAAGTATTAGGTATTAGGCAAACCAAATAATGTTCTACATCTATTGTTTATATTTTTTTATAAGCTCATTATATTTTTACTGTTTTATAAATCTATTTTAAAAGAGAAACCGTACATACCGTATTGTCCATAGATAATAAATACACTTGGTATTGTCGGTAAAAATACAAAATATGTGTGCTTGACCCGCAATCTTCTATCTCTCTCTCGCGCGATTGAACAGCATGTATACGTCATATCAATTCATGTAGCGCATGAAAGAGACCGATTTACAAAGTCTACATCTCTTCCTCAAATTAGTCGGGAACGAAATTTATTCTCTATTTTGTATTTGTGTGTCATCGGTAAGCCCCCAATAATTCTATTTACAATATGTTAGAATAAAAAAATAAAAAAAATAACATTACATACATACATTGAACAATTAAACTATTTTTGTACTTAACGCGTGTCGCTGTTACATTTAATTTGATAAAGATACGAAAATTATATCATATAACAAAAATTGGTATTTTAAAACGTTACTTCAAGACTTCCTTTTCCTCAACTCGAGCGAGGTTACATAGAGTGCACGTCGAGGAACCTCCAAGTCAATATTTTTACTTGATGAATGTGGCCAAAAATTAGAAAATTCAAATTCGAAATCATTTATTTCAACTTAGATGTCAGTATAACACACTTGTTGAATGTCAAAATATAAATAACAATGTTAACTCTACCACCGGTTCCAAAAAAAGCCACAGTCCTGAGAAGAACCGGCGAAACAAACTCAGCGGGCTTTTTTTTTGTTTTTTCTCAAATATATATATATTTTTTTAAATAAGTAAAAACATTTGCAATAGACGCAAAAACAAGTCAAAAAATACAATTAAAAAAAAAAAGGAAAAATGAAATATGAAAAATACAATTAACAATGACGTAGATTTTCCTCGATTCCCTTAAGGTATATCCTGATCTACTTTGAGTTTCATGGTTGCTTTGAAAGCAGGTACCGTAAAATGGGGCGATTAGGGACAAATTCCAACTTTATGAGCAATTTTAAGGTAGTTGTTGATGTATATAATGCTATATCAGGATCAAAATGATTGAGTCTTGGGGGCATCTTTGTTGTCCAATTTAAAATTATGCAACTAGCATTCCAGTTTAAGCAAAAAATGCAAAAATAGGTGTATTCCCTATTTACCCGAAAATTGCGGTTAATTGGGACGAAATGAGAAATTTGCTAGGGTTGGCACTACTTTTATTTTTATATATAGTTTTAATTAATTTACTTATTTAGTTGCACCAACAAAGTGATCATCAATAAAAAAAATTTAAAAACTGACAAAAGTACATGGCAGACATCACCTCAATTATAGGTGCAATCGACAGTGCTGATATTTCTATCTGGGTTAAGAGATTAGGTGTGTCGGTTATTCCATGGATTAATCAGATGAATACCCCCACTCTGAACAAATATTAAATATATTATTNTATACTTATTCTTAGGAAAGTCATTTTTTTGCCTTCTTTAAGTTGAAGAAAATTTGATAGGTATTTTTTTTTCGGTGTTCAAAATAAACTAAGACAAATGGTATCTTTTTTAATTCCATAGTTTTTCATTGAACAGATAGAATTTTTAAGACATTTTTTTGTATGGAATTGCTGTGTTTTTGTAGTTAAATTAATATAGATTAGTTAGTAGGGAAATCTGGGATTTACAGTGCTCTGTTTTATTACAAATAAATTATTTGAAAATTTGTAATGTTTGATTGTTATGTTTTTGTTTGGCCCATTTTGAATTTTAGTATTGATTTTGAAGATGGTTCCCAAAATAATGTAGAGTATCTTAACATATCCGAATTGCTAACGGTCATTATTGGTATAATTGTTATGTTGGTATACCAGTATGGACCACTAGGGAATTGGAATATAATTTTCAATTATCAAGCCGAGCAATCGCATCCACAGTTCTACTGAGGGGCCGCAATATAAGCGTACAGATTTTGGACTGTCAAAAAGTGGACCTCTTTAAATTTACTTATACCAACATTACGCTGTAAGATATGAGTGAATTAAAAAACGTTGCGCGTGCTACTTGGTGCACGTGAATGAAGTGAAACTTGTTTTTCGATGTGTACTATTGTGGTTTTCTTCATTTTTCATCCTTAAATCAGATTGCTCTTGTAATAGGGAATGCTGTGTATAAGAGATGCGACATCTCCAACATTTATACTATTTAAATTTTAAATCATAGATAGAACAAGAAATATATAATTTTTTTTAAATACTTCATTAAAATATTGGACGCTAATCGTTGCTAACGCTCGCGCTGGCCAGGTATACTACGCGCATGCGTTCGAGTGCCACGCATTCACTCTCGCTCTGTCTCTTTCTATTCTCCCTCCTCAGTAGCGTTGAACGTTTAACGAAACCATATTGGAAGTTGCATTAGAAGTTTCACTTCTATACATTATTACTTACGAACGAGTTTCGAAACCTTTGCCTTGAGAGAAATACTATACCTGCCTATTTCTGCCGTGAAGCAGTAATGCGTTACGGTTTGAAGGGTAGGGCAGCCGTTGTAACTATACTTGAGACCTTCGAACTTATATCTCAACGTGAATGGCAATTTACGTTGTAGATGTCTATGGGCTCCAGTAACCACTTAACACCATGTGTGCTGTGAGCTCGTCCATCCATCTAAGCAATAAAAAAAAAAGTACAAACTTAACGCGAAAAGTTGTGAATAATTCGCCCAGAAGTAATGTACTGCAAGTAGTAATTAAGCGGCGAGAAAACCAGTGTTATCTTAGTTGTAATATCGCAGCAGGAAGTGAAGCCGAGCGAGATGGCCAGCGAGACGGAGGCCGCCAGGGCCGAGAGGAAACGACGCCAGAAATTAGCGCAGGAGGAGTTCAGATTGAAACAGATGATGAAGAGCAATGATCAGGGTTAGAATGTTCAACTTAATTCTCTCTCTCTCTCTCACTCCAAAAAGCAGTTAATGAATTTATCAAAATATTTAAAAAAAACATATTTTATATTAGCGCCCTTGCTTCGCTTCGGAAACATTAAATTTTATTATTGATAACTGAGTCCCGCGATGTTACCCGCGGTTATTTTCTTACCGCGGATGACGCCGCGGGGTGAAGCTAGTCTAAAAAAAGTAGCCTAAGTTACTCCTTATATCATCAGCTACCTATCAGTGAAAGTCTCGTCAAAATCGGTCCAGCCGTTCCTGAGATTAGCCGAAACAAAAAGACAGACAGGCTGAGAAAATTGTAAAAAAGGTTTTTTTTTTTATTGCTTAGTTGAGTGGACGAGCTCACAGCCCACCTGATGTTAAGTGGTTACTGGAGCCCATAGACATCTACAACGTAAATGCGCCACCCACCTTAAGATATAAGTTCTAAGGGTCTCAGTATAGTTACAACGGCTGCCCCACCCTTCAAACCGAAATGCATTACTGCTTCACGGCAGAAATAGGCAGGTATGGTATTTGTCTCAAGGCAAAGGTTTCAAATCTCGTTCGTAACTAACAATGTATTGAAGTGAAACTTCTAATGCAACTTCCAACATGGTTTCGTTAAACGTTCAACGCTCCTGAGGAGGGGGAATAGAAAGAGACAGAGCGAGAGTGATATTGAATATGCGACTATTTTTTGACAACGAACTGCTTGTATACCTACCAAACGCAAACCCAACTAATAGTATTGTTAATTTGCTCTTTCGAGACCCCTAAGACTGTACCGCAAATCCATGCTGTACATATTTCCGTTTGAATAACATCTGTTGTAATATAATTGAAATTTCGATCTCATGCTTAGTGGCAGGGCTTAGTAGTGTCTATGGAATCCGATAAATGCTAACATCAGATTGGCTTATGTGTCTTTGGAGGCAGATGAGCATACCGCCCACCTGATGGTTAGCGGTTACCATGCCAGGGACAGAGCCAAGCGGCTGCCTACCATTGAGTACTCGCCGCAAGCCTCGTTTGAAAAAGGTCATGTCATAGCGCTCGGGAAACACCGTAGAGGGGAGTTCATTCTAAAGCCGGATGGTACGTGGCAAAAAAGATCTCTGGAAATGCACTGTGGGTGAACGCAGTGGCTCCAGGTAGTATGGATGAATTCTGCTCCTGTGACGGGAGGCGTGATGGCAAAAAGGGGATGAGGCGATTATCTGATATAATTCCTGATGATGAGATGATACCTTTTATGTTGTAAGCATCCGCTAAGAAAGAATTCCTGAAAATTTCACCACCGAACAGGAGTACAAGGTGAAATGAAAGGCAATGGAAAGCGTCATTTTCAAAGAACGAATCACGTAATTTCATAGACCTGCTTGTTGAAAAACTGATTTTCACGTACATGTGTACGTGCAAATGTGTACTATGTACATGGATGTATTTCAAAATGATGCTAAATTTGGATTTGGCTGGTGGTAGGACGTCTTGTGAGTCCGCACGGGTAGGTACCACCACCCCGCCTATTTCTGCCGTGAAGCAGTAATGCGTTTCGCTTTGAAGGGCAGGATAGCCGTTGTACTGTTAAAAGTGAGACCTTACAACTCATATCTTAAGGTGAGTGGCGGCATTTAACTACATAACGTCAGGTGGGCCGTGAGCTCGTCCACCCACCCAAGTAATTAAAAAAAAAGGTTCGAAAGTTTCAATCAGTCAATTTCATTGAAATTCATATATTTTTTTGTTTTTTATTATTCTTCTTTCCTTTTAAAGCTGATCAGAGGCAAGATGTAAGCAAAGCTAGCAGCAGTTTTGACAGGCTGCTCCTTAATCTCCCAAGTCCAGATATTTTGATCGAAGATACGGCACCCAACGGTGGCGACGGCAAGAGGAAGTCTCCGGGTCCCGACAGTGGCGCCAAGCGACGTAACAGCTTCAATAAATTGAATATTGTACAAAATAAATGAGTTTGATTAAATAGTTTATTATTTCGACCCGGGATTCCCAAACTTATTTTGTCTACTGGCCACTTTGAGAATAAATTCTTTTTTAGCACCCTCCTTTTTTAACCTTTTTTTATTGCTTAGATGGGTGGACGAGCTCACAGCCCACCTGATGTTAAGTGGTTACTGGAGCCCATAGACATCTACAACCTAAATGCGCCACTCACCTTGAGATATAAGTTCTAAGNTTTATTATTTCGACCCGGGATTCCCAAACTTATTTTGTCTACTGGCCACTTTGAGAATAAATTCTTTTTTAGCACCCTCCTTTTTTAACCTTTTTTTATTGCTTAGATGGGTGGACGAGCTCACAGCCCACCTGATGTTAAGTGGTTACTGGAGCCCATAGACATCTACAACCTAAATGCGCCACTCACCTTGAGATATAAGTTCTACGGTCTCAAGTATAGTTACAACGGCTGCCCCAACCTTCAAACCGAAACGCATTACTGCTTCACGGCAGAAATAAGCAGGGCGGTGGTACCTACCCGCGCGGACCCACAAAAGGTCCTACCACCAGGAAAAAACCAAACTTACTTAAAAACTACTATAGCTCATTCGGTTTACCCCGATCATCGTTCTCGTCGAACCCGTCGCTTGCGACGAAGGGCTCGAGGAGCAATTAACCCTCAGACACAGCCCACTGAGTTTCTTGCCGGATCTTCTCAGTGGGTCGCGATTCCGATCCGGTGGTAGATTCTGCGAAGCACGGCTCTTGCTAGGGTTCGTGTTAGCAAAGTCGTCAGGTTTTAGCCCCGCGAGCTCACCTACTAGTTAAGGTTACGCTGATATAGCCTCTCAAGGCTTATCAGCTTAGGTAGGCAAAAAAAATGACTTACAGTTAAGTGTCCCCTGATATAGCGATCTTGATTTTATAGTATTATAATACTATATATTAGGTCTTTACCTACGAAATTGCTGTTTAGTGTATGGAAACTCAGTCATTATAAATAATATTTTATATCAATTCAATGAGGCGCTTAAGGTATTTTGCTATTCTAATTTCTGGCACCACAGTGATCATTTTTCCGCTCTGTCTCTCGGATATTGGATTTTTGTTTGTCCGCGCAGAACTAGTGGCTAGGATGGATGACGCAAGACTTGCGACTCTAGCATTTGTAGCTTAGAGACCGTCTATCTCTATTGTGCCCTGTGAGATCGCATGTTGTCGTCTGGGAGCACTGGAAACGAGCGACTTACAGGAGATTCGTGAGCTTCTGGTCATTGTATCCTGTGTGCTTAGTGCGAGTTTTTTAATGTTCTCGATAGCGTAAAAGTTAGCTCATATTTGTAAGGAATGGGATCGTTTGCGTACTGTTATACTATTACCTAGTATATTAATTAATTTAAAAGTGCCTCTATCAGCACTTTCCGGCCTTACATATACTAGAGCCCCGTTGGCTCGAAGTCAGTCACCCTGCGTCGTTACTATGAGCCACACTCTCTCCAAGTAGAATTTTTGTATCTTCAAAGTGAATAAAATCTTTTTTAAAAGGACTTTTTCAAAGTCCCGTATAACAGTACGTTTGCCGCTAGGGGCGCTGTTCCAACTGCATACAAAATTGGGTTAACTTTTACGCTATCGAGAACGTTAAAAAACTCGCACTAAGCACACAGTTCCTTTCCTCACCGTACACATCTGACACTGCTGGTACTATTTGGTTTGTGCGGCCTTACTATCGTGACGGAACACGTACCTATTCCATAATTATCAACTCGTATTTTTATGATGTTCATGTTCATACAAACGTAGTGAAAACAAAATAATAATCAAAAAACAAATGAATTTGAAAATAGATGTTCACATTTTTAAAAGAAAATTCATAATTTGAATTTAGAGTTTATTGCCAGCCATAGAGAAATAAAATCAAAAAAGACTATTACAAACGTAGTTTTTTTTTAAATGGGTGGACGAGCTCCAGGCCCATGGTGAAGTGGTCACAAGAGCCCATAGACATCAACATGCGAGTTCCGTTACCCACTTTAAGACGGGAGTTCTAGTCTCAGGTTTTTTACTACAACAGTCGCCACATCTTTCAAACTAAAAGGCATTACTGCTTCATGACAGAAATAGGCAGGGTGGTAGCACCAATCCATGCTCAAAAGACGGCCTATCATGAGTAATAATTTGGAGGAATAGCATCTAGTAATTGAGAAGGTCGAGATTTTCCACATCCTGAATTCAGTTTCAATCCAGGGTTGTTCCACTGAAGTTTTATTCTCAAAAACGTCTAAGTAACTTTTATGTTTGTTATATATGTATATATATTTATTTAACCCGGTATACAGGACTGACTACAATTAAAAAGTAAACAATTGTTTTTGTCAATTTTATTTTATTTGCTAAAAAGAACTTACACAATTATTTACAGAAGTTGAGAACGAAATATAACCTCTACTTTATTGTACTCAGGTAAAATTAAAGAAATGTTGACTTATTGCATACATATTGTCAATTGTAAGTTAAAAAATACCACTTAACAAAACATTAACTATGCCATTATTTTTATTTGTATTAATAGTGTTGCCATTTTATGAATTACAAGAAAACTAAGCGCTTAAATATTAAAATCGACATGTTATAGACAAATAAACCTTCATTCTTATAAAATATGCTTTTTATTTCTTTAAAACTAAAAACTATCTTCTATTAATTAAACTAAATAGAAAAAATACCATTCAATATAGTATAATTCTCCTGTTCACAGTTTATATCTACTGAGAAACCAAATTACAAAGTCAACGCACAAAGGAATTACTCTGAAAATATTGCGCTTAAATATACTCATCGTATTGCATATATTCGAATTAAAATAAATTTTGTTGATAATACTTTGAAATTTAAATTACGACTTGAATTTTTAATAATAGCTTCATGAACTTATTAAAATATATCTAGGATGATTTTAATATAAATCAAGTTGTATATCAAATGATAATTAACCGTTACTTAGTACTGCTTAAATGTTTCCAATTACAAAATATAATACATATCCTATCCTTTTTTATTATTTGAACACATTAAATACCAGATAATAATAAATAATATCTAATAAAAAATAACACTGCTAATAACAGTCATTTGAACAGAAAAGAAGAAAATAAAGTATTTTTAAGAAACAAATCACACAATTAGTGTTACCAACTTTATTTTGGAACAAATTATTAATAAGACAATGTGTTAAAATTTGTATAAAATTCCGATCAAAGTCAGTCAACGAACAAGCTGTGTTTGGCGACAATCCATTGCTTAATTATAATAATTTAATTAGTTAGGATTAAGTAGAAAACTTATCAACTTGTATAAAGACACTTCAGTATGTTTTATGTGTGTTGTTTCATTATTATCTGTAGACTAGCACACTATAATATTGCTTATAAACATTGCCATATCTTGGACATAGCTCTAATAAAAGACAAGGCATCCTCTTCTGTTGAAGAAATATAAAATAACAGAGTCAGTAGTTAAAAATTTCAGCCCAATATTTAGACTTAAATAAACGCGACTTACGTGTGACGTCATTTGTGGCCAAAACGTACATTAAGTTATCCGTAGTACACTACAGTGCGGACGCTGATAAAATGCGTTCTGACGGATCGCGAATGGATGATGTGGCTTTGAGGAGGTGTTCCACTTGCAATGAAAATTAAAGATTAATTCATTCTGCTTAGTAGGAGTGTTTATTGTGTTAGCTTGTGATAAATGTTATGTTTTTGCTCTAAAGGATGTTAGCTGAACGTGATCCAAATGTCTCATATATTTTTTATTTCTGTCCTTTGATTTTGTATGATCTATCGCATTAATTCCGCTGCCGAACACAATTATTTACCTCAAAATTTGACATTATGGATCAATTGGTGGATACTTTGATAAACAAAACGAATTTCAGCGATTTCATTACAAATCTTTGATACATATTACCGATCGACGTGAACATTTTAATTTCTTTATGATCACTTACAACTACAAGACTGGTTTTGTTATGAGTATCCGATTTGTCGATTCTAGGATTTAAAGGCTATAGATTATTTTGTTTGCTAAACATAATCAACATTCTTTCGCATTTTCGTCTCTTAGAATCGGAACACGTGTATAAAAGAGGCGACAGTGCACTAATAACTAAGTATTCAACACGAATTTCATTTTAATGTTTTAAAAATATTTATATCATGTATATGTTAGAGATATAGGTACTATAAATTTATAGAATAACTCGCGGCGGCATCGCTGCAATAACAATTCTCTTGACGCGACCAACACAATACAAACGCGGTAAACGTGTTAGTTAAGATGCTAATATTTTTTTGTTTAATGTTTATATATTTATTTATGTTAATTTTACAGTATATTTCACAAAGTCATATAGTCTTGAAGCTACGACCTACGAGGTATCGGAGTTCCGTTTACATATTCAGACGCGTCGCCGTGTAACGTAACGATAAGCACACGACAATAAAAAAATCGGTTCCGATATACAATAATACAACCTACGTTCGTTATTACAGGAACATTTTACAACATACGATTAATATAATTTATAACATGACATCATAATAATAATATTGTGGTGCGTCTCTCTACGTACAAATGTGGAAGATTACTGTTTTTTTCTTTCTTCATTGTTCTTACAACATTCTCTCATCTGTAAGTTAAAAAAAAAATGTTTATTTGATTTGAATTTGATATTTGATAATGTTGGTTTTTTTATGCCATAGGTGGGTGGACGAGCTCACAGTCCACCTGGTGTTAAGTGGTTACCGGAGCCAATAGGCATCTACAACGTAAATGCGCCACCTTGAGAGATATAAGTTCTAAGGTCTCAGTATAGTTACAACAGCTGCCCACCCTTCAAACCGAAACGCATTACTGCTTCGCGGCAGAAATAGGCGGGGTAGTGGTATCTACCCGCGCGGACTCACAAGAGGTCTTACCACCAGTAATGACGCAAATTATAATTTTGCGGGTTTGATTTTTATTACACGATGTTATTCCTTCACCGTGGATACAGGTAAGGATAAGGTACATACAGACGAGAGTGGTGGTACCGCTACTAGACAGGCAGCTCGTCGGCTTCCTTCTCGCGCTGGCGCACGGCCACGGCGGTCTCCACCAGCAGGTACAGGCACTTGAACTTGTCGCGCTCGCCCTCGCCCGCCGCCGGGACCACCTGCAACACGACCCACGTCACAGTCACGCCCCGGGGCAACGAACCCTCGTGCGGCTCGCGGCCCCGGACATCAATTGTCGTGGGGTTTTTTAAAAGTAATTTTATGACCTGGTAACTAAGACCTTTAGGTCATGTCTTATTTTAATTTTAATGAAAAAAATTTTTTTATATAAAAAATGATTTTACTAAATGAAGTTGATTAATATGAAACATTGCATGAAATGAAAAGGAAATGAGACGAGATGATATGGGATGAAATATAATCTCAGTAAAATGTTAGGCATTTACTGAGACTTTTTCAGTGGACTTTTTGGAGGATACCGAGAAGTTACGTTCAGCGGCTTTGTTTGATTTTCCCACATTTTTGCACTTTCATAGATACTAAACAGTTAATAAACCATCGTTATTACACATTTAACCCTGAAGAAACATTAAATAGACAAAATAAAACAAATCATACAATTTCACTCCTCGCGTTCCCGCCAAAAAGTCTTTCAATTGACATGAAATATTGTTACACCGGTAAAAGTAAAGCCACCTATCGTCGAATAGGAGAAACGAATATCAAAGAACTAGTAAAACCGAGAACGCTCGATAAGCACAGCGCCATCTATTATCAAATATCGTAAACACATATCGAAACTGCTCGACCTGTCAGGAATGTTTTCGATAATACTAGGGGTTTCGTATTTATTTATTTTTTTTTTTTTTTTTTTTTTTTGTTTATTTAATAAGTTGCACCAACAAAGTGATCATCAATACAAAACATTGACAAATTGACAAAAGTTCATGGCAGATGTCACCTCAATTATAGGTGCAATCGACATTGCATTAACATCAACAATAAAAATAAAATATACAGCTAAGAATTGGATACATTTCATTCATTGCTTAAGATTAATTTAATTGGGAGATGATCCGCGACAGATTTTTCCTGTAAGTAGTGAGACAATTTGAAAAAACATCTATTTCACTTAAAATAAGTTCAGCGCAATCGGACAACTCCGAAGGAACATTGACGGAGACCGCGCTACCGTGGACATTATTGTAGNAGTATATGAAATTGAGCAGGTGGAGGTAGGTAAACAGCGCAGATGTATAAGTATTTCAATCTGTTCTTAGTATCACGCAACTCAAGCTTGACCCAGAGATCCTCACAATCCGATTCGCGATCGAACAAGCGAAACGATCTGAAACGCGTAGACACTGCAATTAACGTGCCCCCTCCCTCCTTGGTGCTGTGGAACCCCCTATCGACTATAAAAGCGTTACAGGGAAAAGCAGTTAGTGATCGGATCTAATCGAAGCGAAACAGCGAATGAATCACCTGAAGCGAAGCGGAAGAAGTGAATTGAGAATTTTAAAGGCAAGTGTTTTAAGTTAAATAGAGTGTTAATTTGTATTTCGGTAGAATTTTTATTTATCCTGAACTCCAGCGCGTAATAATATTTTACAGTTTAATTTACAAACTAAAATTTCTCAATTTGTCTGTGACCAAAACAAAAAATAGAACCGTTTCAAGTTGAACAATAGAGCACAAGAGTCGTGGCTGTGATCGATATACATGCCTGCAGCCGTTTCCTGAGCGGGTGCGGCAGTTGCGGCAGATGTGCGAGTTGTGGGTGCCAGCCCCCCGGCGTGCCGCCTTCTCCCTCCCCTTCACCCCCCTCTCCGTCGCCCTCCACGGCCCCCTCCGCCGTGCGCACCGTCACCACCGCCGACGCCGTACTTTAAATACAAAAACAAATTGAAGTATAATATAAGTGAACTCTTAGAATAGAGTAAGGATTAATAATTTCCATACACATTACTTGTTGAATATTAAATATTTTTAGTATTAATTTTCGTGCCAAGAATAGGTAACGAAAACAGTTCCCTTGTATATACTGGTATTTGATTACCAAAATTACTGGACCACAAAATTAATTACATTGAAATTAATTAATGTTATTTTATAGTTCAAAGAAATATAATTATACTGCTGTTTTACCAGGGTTTAAATAAAGGAACAGCATCAGTACACAGTAACTGTCAGTTTTTTTAAATATCAACATACCCTCTGACAGCGGGATGTATCTCCTTATCTTCTGGTCCGTATCTGATGACCGACTGCCACACAGAAGGATCGTATTTCACTTCTTCCTCGCTGACCGCACTGGAGGAGTAGCCTTCTTCACCGTCTGCAATGTCATCTCCTTCACTACGATACACCAGTAGACCATCAGTGTACTCTTGCTCTGCGCTGCGGTCTGGATCATTCTGTTGATGGTGTAAATAGATTTAATGCGAGAATTGAAACAATCGTTGCTTTTAACTTAAAAGAAATTATTTGTTATTCATAATTTCAATGAATTTTTAGACTATTTCGGATGAATAATTGAAAATCAATACATTCTGAATGGAATAGAGATCAGAAGTGATTTATTCATTAAGTGTTTCGAGAAATACTCATTTTTTACCAGCTTGACCACTGATGGAAACTTGACGTGTTACATATGCTTTTATTTCTGGTAAGGGCCAAACCTCACACAGGGTTTTCGCATCTAGGGGGTATGCGGAACCTGTGTGAGTTGACGGTCTGTAGGTGTTAGATGCAGTCCGTGGGCCCGAGGTGTTTTAGTGCCTTACCCACTAAACGACTGCAGGTTTCACATGCTTGCAGATACTTTTTTTTTCTCTTAAATATATGTTAAATAACATGATTCGTTTTGGGATAAATCTGTCTTGATGTGGACAAACTCAACTGCAATTCTATGTCTTACCTCAACATCAGCTCCGTCCCAAGAAGCGACAACGACTCCAGAGTTGGACGCGCTGGAGGATGCCCCCGAGGGTTGTTTCCGTCCGCGGCGTGAGATCGTGTAGTGTAACGGATCATGACCCTCGCGACGTATCATCTCCGGCAAGATGCGACGTCTCGCGTTTATGAACCAGTTACATACCTGGCACGGATTAGGAACAATAAAAGCCATTCATTCATTAATTTCACTTGACTAAAAGTTATCGAAGTCGTTCGAAGTCGTCGTGGCCTAAAGGATAAGACACGAGATATAAGATCTAAGGTCTCAGTATAGTTACAACGGCTACCCCACCCTTCGAACCGAAACGCATTACTGCTTCATGGCGGAAATAGGCGGGGTGGTGGTACCTACCCGCGCGGACTCACAAGAGGTCCTACCACCAGTAATTATGCCAATTATAATTTTGCGGGTTTGATTTTTATTACACGATGTTATTCCTTCACCGTGGAAGTCAATCGTGAACATTTATTAAGTACGTATTTCATTAGAAAAATTTGTACCCACTTGCGGGATTCGAACACCGGTGCATCGCTCAACACGAATGCACCGGACGTCTTATCCTTTAAGCCACGACGACTCTAAATTAATTTGAGGTGCTTATTCGTTCTGCTCACCTGCAAGACACTCAAATTGGCCTCCTGGCTGAGCGCTATTTTCTCGGCGTCGCTCGGGTACGCGTTGTACCTGTGGTCGTACAGCCATCGCTTCAATATCTTCACCGAATGCTTGGCGAGGTTCCCTCGACGTTTCCGTATTGTCACTATCTGACCCTGGGGCTGCATGCCGGAGACTCCGTGGAGGATGGTCTGCCGGCGCGACCGGTCCGCCTCGCCGTCTGTGCCGCTCTCATTTTCGTCCGTCGATGAAGTCGAAGGGAAACGGTTTCTTACTGTGGAAATAAACAAAGGTATTATAAGTTTTGGTTAAATTGGTAATAATATACCGGTAATAGTAACGCCATCTATCGCTGAATAGCAGAAACGAATATTAAAAAGAAGTAGTAACATAGAGAACGCTCGAGAAGTACAACGCCATCTATCGTCAGATAGCGGAAAAACACATCGAAGCTACTCGACTTGCCCAGAATGTTCTCGATAAATCTAGGGATGTCGTGTCGACTGTAAAAGCACTGCTGAGATGACACAAACGCAGTTAGTAATCGGAACTACTCGAAGCGAAGCAGCGAACGGACCACCTGAAGCGTATTTGGTATTTAATATCAACAATTCAATGTTTTTAATTGAACTTCAATCAAATTTATCCCATTCAAAGAGCTAAAGATGGTTTTTAACCAAATTTTTAACATTAAATGGTTTTCCTGTAAATTTGCAAAAATGTCGCTTAAAGCACGAGTAGTCTTGCGCCTCTCAATATATTGTATCCACTTGATAGATAAAATATATTCTCTCAGTGCATGACATGTACAAAGTGTTCAACTGGTCAACCCGAGTCGCATACCGACATACGACTATTTACACAGAAATCTATATATTCATCCGCGAAGCAAATTTTTTTTACGAGTATTACGCGTATGGAGGGGTTTAAAATTCCCCACAAATATAGAGAACTAGAGGTCCCGCAGTAGTCGAAATTCGACTATATTTAATTGGAATTGTAAATTTGTACACTATTATGATTGTATTTTCAACGCCAAGACTACAATATAGAAAAATATTAATAAAGACAAACAATATTTAATCTATTCTCAATTTGACAACAGACGTCAAGAACAAAAGTTTTACAATAAATAAATAGTAAGCATGCGTGTGTGTGTTAAATACATGGTATGTAGTGTGTGTAATGTTTTCTTTATTGATTTAATGTATCTTTTATGCATTATTTAAAAAAAATATTAGGATTGTGCATTTCTTCTTTATATTCTCTATAAGTGTGGAAAATTTCATACTCCTCCAGTCCGCCCAGTTTTCGTAGAAAGGGATACAAAGTTTTTGCTTCACGTATTAATATATAGATATAGAGAAGTAGTGCAGAATGCAATTCTTTTTTAATTGTGCATACAAATATATTAAATTAATTGATTGATTGAAAAATTCTTTATTGAACAAAAACATTGATCATTGAACATTGAAACATTGAAAACATCAACTGAATGTGCTTCACGAAAACTCGGGGGAAGGCTATTCCAAAGACAAGTGGCTGAGACAGTAAATGAATTTGAGTAGAACGCATTAAATCAATAAAAAAAACATTACACACACACTACCGTGTATTTGACACACACACGCATATATACTTTTGTTTAATGTTAAAGTCTGTGTTCGAATTGAGAATAGAATAACATTGTTTGTCTTAATATTATTTGTCTATAATGTAGCCTTGGCGAAATCTGTTATTATGGAAGTATGTTCTTTGATAATACAACCTTAATAACCTTCAAAGTTATAATTTAAATTAATTATGGTCGAATTTCGAACACTCTGCGACCGCTAGTAATAATAATATCCCTATAACGGTAATGTATCAATCGACTCATGGTCATCAATCATGAGTGAGCATTAAATTAGCGTTTCTTTATGACGCGGAACTGTGAGTGGGGGGAGTTTTATCGATCGCGGGGTCAACGTACTAGCGAGGGTGACGCAAGAATTAAATCAAGGCCGTCGTTGTTTACAATACTTTCCCCGACTGACCCGAATCGTAATGTATGTTTACAAGAAAATATTGTAGCAGGGATGTGTTGTTCTTTTTTTTTAAATTAAATAATTTAGAAAAATGTTAAGGCCTATTTAAGAAGTAAAGTATTCACTTTAATTTATTGTTAGTGTTAGTATTGATTTTTATAAATAATTCAGTATTAATGATGCACATAATGTTTCGAATTTTTCAAAGCGGCTTTAAAATCACTTCATATTTATTATAATACAATGTACTCTTCTGATATCGGATTTTCTTATGGTTTTCCTAAATCAACGAAGCGGTTCAAGGAGAAAGGTTTAGGTGGTTAATTCATTATAGCTTTGTGTAAATTCGCTGAAATTTGACAATGTTTGTCGAAAAATTCCATAGAAAGTATTCCGAGACTATTACATTTAGAAGGTCAATTATTAATCTTTCATAAACCTATATATCTCTCATCTTCTAATAATTATCGTATTTTTTACAGTAATAGAAATTCTCGTTGAATTCTTCTTATTAAATGTATTTTATCTAAATTAAAACTGCCTTTATACCATACAGTTCAAACAACTACGGGTCTAATTTTAGGTCAACAAAAAGGCTTTTTGATACACGTACAAGAAAAGGACAGTTTTTTTATTGCCCTTGTAGGCAGACTTTCATACTGCCCAACTGATGGTGAGTGGTTACCGTCGCCCATGGGCTTCAGCAATGCCAAGGGGCCGAGTCAAGCCCCTGCCTACCATTAATTAATCATATATACGATCGTTAATAATTATAAAAAAAAAAACATTTAATACAGGAAACAACCCTATTATTGAGTAGATTAAGTAAGAGAACGCAAAGCTCACATGCAGGAGCATGCTGCCAAAGCGGACAATTGATCGACTGAAATATAAAGATATGATTATTGATGCGTGAGCGCGTTCTGATTTAAAGCGTGGGGGAGGGGCGTCTTTTGTACCAATGTAATTGATACTAACCTCAAGGTTCAAGGTGGTAAGTGGAATTCCTGTCATTTTTATATCTATGAACGTTAGTAATCCTTTCAAGGATACATTCTGATTAAATAGAAAAAAATCGTGTTTAGTGCTAGGCGTGACTTGCTTCCATCTCATTCTAGCATAAATTGTTTCATGTTTTTTTGCAGAAAACTAACAAAATACGAAATTAAATCGTTTATATTTTCTGTACTTAGTGCGAGCTTATTAACGTTCTCGATAGAGTAAAAGTTAACTCAAATGTGTATGCATTTGGATTACAAAAAAATTTGCTTATATGGGTGGACGAGCTCACGGCCCACCTGGTGTTGAGTGGTTACCGGAGCCCATAGACATCTACAACGTAAATGCCGCGACCCGCCTTAAGACTTGAGTTCTAAGGTCTCACTTATAACAGTACAACGGATGTCCCGCCCTTCAAACCGAAGCGCATTACTGCGTTTGCCTACATTTGCCGCTACGGGCGCTGTTTCAACTGCATACAAATTTGAGTTAACTTTTACGCTATCGAGAACGTTAAGAAACTCGCACTAAGCACCACAGAGCATTGAACTTTGACAACGTAATGCAAATTAAGTCGTACACATTAGTTGGACCTTGCCCGCGGTTTTGAATGACAACAAATAACATTATAGACTTTTGCTTGCGAATGGAATGTTTAATAAGTTGAAGAATTAAAATAATGTAAAACATTGAGAAATCAATAAATCGAGGTTGAGTGAAGTCAAAGATTTAAAACATCTAAATTATAATTTGTATGTAATAAAATTTAAATTCGAGCTAGAATCTATCGCCGAAAGAATACTTATAAGACATAAAACCTCTAAAAAGCCGTTTACTTCGGGCGTTAGCTATACATACAAGAACTTCGGCAAATGTGTTTAACGCCTAGTAAGAAATCCGTAGTTGTAATCACATATAGCCAATTTTGGTGCTCAAATTTAAGTAAACATTCGATAGAGTATTCCTTAAAAGAATGCTCTACTCATCTAAATAATCCTCAAGTTAGAGCCCCGTGAGGAAACCTACTCGGAAAAGCAGAATCTAAATTAATTTTCGTTGTTGCGTTTTATTAAGACCAATATTAATCTTAATTAATTTTTCTCTCAATATCAATCTCAATGTGTCTTTTAATTTAATAGATAATTATATCATTTGATATTAGAGAACGGATATATTTTAAGATTACAGCAGTGCTTGTCGCTCCGCTTATTTATTTAATTTAAGAATCATCCTTATATTTATAACACCGCTTAATATAGGTCAGTGTTCAAGTTTTTCATTTATTTATTTATTTAGATGGATGGACGAGCTCACAGCCCACCTAGTGTTAAGTGGTTAGTGGAGCCTATAGACATCTAAAACGTAAATGCGCCACCCATCTTGAGATTAAGTTCTAAGATCTGAGTATAGTTACAATGGCTGCCCCAACTTTCAAACTAAAACGCATTACTGCTTCACGGCATAAATAGGCAGGGTGGTGGTACCTACCCGCGCATACTCACAAGATGTCCTATTACCAGTAAACCAGTATAACTAATATTGACGGTTACGATAACTGTGTAAAAATGTATCCGAATGGCATATAATTTCGTGCTAGCACAGAAAACACTATACCCAAACAGTGACGTCAATGTTCACGTTAATCTCTCTGAATCCCACACTTCGAACTGGCTTGATAGTTTAGGAGTGAAAATGGGAAAGAAATGGTATGGTTATGAAAAATAAAAAAGGGATATAATATATTTTGAACTTGTTTTTTTATTACCTATACTATTTCAACAAAACTTAGAAGGCAGAGTCATGAGGGGTCGAACCTTGCAAGTAATCAGATGAAATGTGAATGCCAATACAGTTAAAACGGTATTTTCGCGTTGAATGATGATGGGAGCGTTTATACATTTATTTTACTTAAAAGTCAATTTAGATTTACATCCAATGTTCTACTGCAGTCTATCCATTTATTTCTAGTCTTTCATTTAATTATTTCAATTTAGTTGTGTTGTTCCTACGGAACAAAGCAACTCCGAGCTATTGTTTTAAATTACAAAAGCTGGCTGTCTATTATCTCGACGTTTCAATTACGTAACTAAGATATAAGAACGCGACTCCACCTGCTAGCATCATCCGACACGATGCAAGTTAAGTATACAAAGGTTTTTGTAGCTTCAGTGACATGATGTTTACTTAGTTACCGGTATGTACTACGAAGTTTGAGTAACACCGCCCAACCTGAGACGCCAGCTCTCAACTATATTATTTATATAACTTTAATAACTTGTTTTTTATGTTTGAGAGATTACTGGTGGCCCGGAGGCCTTTCCAGTTTTACCAGGGCAGGTGGGCGAGCGAGGACTCAGCCAGGAGGGGTGAGATTTGGTAACAGCTCCCCGAGCGCCTACAAAGGAGACCTAACAACTCAAGAGCAGCTGCTTCGCGAATGGATCTACTGTCGGATCGGAATCGCGACCCGCTGAGAGCATCCGGCGAGAAACTCTTGCCGAGAGAACTCTTTGCCGAGTTCGACGAGTATGGTTACCGGATAATAAGAATTCGACGAGTATGGTTACCGAATAATATAACTGCTGATATTCGTAATTCTTCGTGGCAGTAATTGACAGGATGAGACATTTACTTGTGCACGGTCAATATAATACGCCCAACAATCAGTTAGTTCCCACACAAATATTATGAATTTATGAGTTTTACTCCATCATCATTGTGGACATGCACGGAGTGTCAGTGTTAATGTATAACAATACATGTATGCCATATATGTAAGTCTATTTGATAACCATAATATACGTATCGTCGTAGCTAAAGGATTAAACGCCCGGTGCATTCGTATCAAGTGATGCAACGTTGTTCGAATCCCGCAGGCGGGTACCAATTTTTCTAAAATAAAAAAAGTACTTAACAAATCACGATTGACTTCCGCGGTGAAGGAATAACATCGTGTAATAAAAATCAAACCTGCAAAATTATGATTTGCGTAATTACTGGTGGTAGCGCGTCTTGCGAATCCGTACGCGTATGTACTACCACCCTTCGTATTACTGCCGTGAAGCAGTAATGCGTTTCGGTTTGAAGGGTGGGCCAGTCGTTGTACTGTAAAAATGAGACCTTAGAACTCACATCTCAAGGTCAGTGGCGGTATTTACATTGTAAATGTCTATGGGCTCTGGTAACTACTTAACACCAGGTGGTCCGTGAGCTTCTTCACTCATCTAAGCAATAAAAAAAAGTGGAGAAAATATCCTCCCCCCTCAGCCTTGGCTCTCCCACCTGTCCTGGTAAAGCTAGAAAGGTGTTCAGGCCACCGGTAATCCTTCGATCAAAAAAAAAGTAGAGAAAATAGAGAATATTTAGCTGCAGTACCTCCAATGAAGTGTGATATTATCACAGGTGACAAACCCAAGTTTTTTTGTAATGATCATGGTACAAAAATTCAATCTTCCAAAAATAGTGAAGAAACAACATTACGTGTGGAAGAAGATAATTGGTGCAATCTTTGAGACTGCCCATTTCATCATGATTATGCGGGACAGTAAAAAAGGTCACTACAAAGTGTCTTCAAAGTTAATACTATATATTTGATAACAAACTGTTTCGGGATACATTTCTAGAACAGCATCTTCACAATGGGATCCTCTTTTATTAGGATAATGCTGGTCAGCAAACTCAACTATACAAACTACCAAATGATCAGAATCTTCTGGAGTAAAATTGTTAACTTTGAAGGAATATAATTTCTATATTCCAGAAAATCAAAGGTGACACTTTAAGTTTGTCAAAAAGAATCCTAACGAGTGGGCCCACTACTTTTCTCAATAGTTTCATCATATTATTATGCATTAATACTCAAATGGTGCTTGGAAATATTTTGAAAAACTATAAATGTATTAAGATGTTTCTTTTCTTTATATTCTATAATCCTTCTGTTTCACCCTCATACTCAGTCTGGATATAGGTCATCTAATATCAAGCATGTAAAATAAATAACTCGCACATAATAATGATTAAATAGCTAGAATTTGCACTTTGTGTTTCTAAAACAATTTGGATATATCACATTCAACATTATTCAATTTATTATTTTATGGGTTTGATTTTACACATTTGTCAAATTGTGTTAAATCCATATTCTTTTATAATATTTTGTATCTGGAACACCAGAGTAGATGGAATTATTCAGGTAAGTGTAAGGTAGTCCATTTGCCTTATATCATAATATTTCATATAAGATCTGTTATGTATTGTATTTTTAATTAATTACCTTAACTTTTTAAATATCTGTAATAGAACTTATGCTTTTCACGTTGAATGAGAAATATAAAGCATAAATAACATTTATTTTAAAATAAATGATCCCATCTTAAAATAATAAAATTTCATTTATGATTATTTTACTCCTATAGAGTCCAACACCCCAGTTATGTTTTGTGAAGAGGGTGTATGCCCAACCTCTCCAACCTGCACCGATCCGTTATTCCCTTTTCAGTCTTAGTTATGTTTTGGATTTTATTTTTCATTCTTTGATCTCAGATCAGAAACCTACCATATATCTTATGTATGTTACTTTATACATTTTGATAACTAAACCCAACTGCAAGTATCTGTTTTAGATTGAAAAACATCAAGGCGTGCAAATAGTTTTTGTTATGAAAGTTTATTAATAATAATAACATGAAAAACAATCAAAGTGTCGCCGCCTAGCGAACCGCGTGATCCAAATGGTTTGACAGCAGCCATCTTGTATGGCTTGACCGCTGTCAATTTCCTGTCATTTAGACATTTTAATAAAGTCAATATGATTTCAACAAAAACAAACACAGCAACAAAGTTTTTTGTTGTAATCAATGAAATATTTTAGTGATTTTATAAGTTATTTATGAGACAAAATACTCCCTTGATTAATGCAATGTAGGCCGACATTACGTAGCTAATGAACGAGCTAAAAATAACCCGAACACGTGCCAATTCTGTTCTGTTTTACAGCACCAGTTATGTTATATAAGAGCAAAAGCTTATTTATGGAAACAACAAAGATATTTAACCTACTTTTTCGAATAGATTCGTTAAAAAAGTCTTCTAAAGCTAGGTTTGATAAGCAATGTGGCGACTTGGCGCCATTTTTATTTCTTGAGAACGTACGCTTTGATGACGTAACAGACCTAAATTCTTTTGTATTTGACTTGTATACATTAGTAATGGGGTCGCATCTTATTTTTATCGTAATTTCGAGCCGAAAACAGCATTGTTTTCATGTTAATGTCACCTTGACACATCATGTCAATTTGACAAGAATGGCGGAAACGTGGCGTCGTTTGATTTGGACCGGCGTACCTCCAGGAGATGAGGACTGTTGTCTGTTAGCGACGCGAGCGTCCCTGATGATTTCTCGGGTCAATTCCCTCACGTCACGTCGGTGTTGGAATGCCATTTCGGTCCGGTCGCGCTGTTCTTGTGAGAGACCGGCCGTGGGAGGTAACATAGTTGATCACTCAATCCATGCAAACACTTTGTTTTGGTTCTCGACCACTGAGCACAACTGTTAGATTTTTTCAGTACATAAAATTACATTTGACAGCACTGTATCTCAACAAAAACAAAAATAATCGACATGAACTACGTTCTGTGAACGGAATCGAGCTCAACTGTCGAACGGGGGACGGCGGGAATTAAATGCGCCGTCGCGCAACTATCCCTATCTAGCACGCTGGAAATTATATTTCCATTTCGCTCACATGTTAGCGCTTTGATGACAGATGCGTGCATAAAATGTCAAAACAAAGCGTGGGGTTTTAAATGTCAAACAATCTGATTGGTTTAATTTTGTAGCGCTCGTACTGCCATCTTTTGATTGTTTTTAAAAATTGAACTTCGTTCGTTTACAATTGTTGAATGTAGAGGTAGTTAGTTAATGACAACACTGTTTTGGCACTAGTTTGAATAAAAACTTATACAGAATCTAAAAGAACATAGGTAAAGAACACCATTATTTTAGACCTTAATGCATCTTCACACATCATTTTCTCAAGAAAATAACTAAGAATAAAATTACGAAGTGCAATAATTTCAACCGGTAAAACCTGTGTTTTTCATTATTTTAAAAGGTTAAATTGTGGTACTCGTTTAGTTTAAATAAGTACCTACCTGATTTTTGGTTTGGAAGGGGTAAACCTGAAATGGTTAAAGGTAAAATGCCAACTTAGAGTCCATAGACATCACAACAAGCATGTTGTTGCCCGTCTTGTGGTATTTACTGGAAGTAATATATTTTATAAATAAAAATAAATGATATTTAAAATTAGTCCGGGACAACTCGCTCACGGTCACCTAGCCCTTAATTAGGATTTCCGGACCAGCCAGTCAACGGCACTAAATATTGCGTCACAGGGTAAATTTCAGTTGTCTTAGAAAAAAAATTGCCGTACTTTTTCCCCCCTACATATTCGCTGGTAACCTAGGGGGCTATTCCATTTACGCGTGGACGGGTAGGTGAGCTCACGGGCTCTATCTGAAAGAATTTGCTGACACTAGCCCTAACAAGAGCTATGCTTCGCAGAATCTACCATCGGATCGTAATCGCGACCCACTGAGAAGATCCGGCGAGAAACTCAGTGGGCTACGGCTTGCCGCCTGTCAGAAGCATATTTTTTTTATTGCTTAGATGGGTGGACGAGCTCACAGCCCACCTGGTGTTAAGTGGTTACTGGAGCTCATAGACATCTAACATAGCGGGCTGAAGGTTAGGTTGTGGCGGTTAAGTGTCACCGGTTACCGGGGTCTCTAAGCCTGCTCCTAGCGTTAGAGCTGAAGGTGTTTGATGCAATGGTTATTGGATCTGATAGTAGATGTGCCTAGGGTGTCGACGGTGACTGGCTTCTGCGTGTTCAAGATTCGGGGAGTAGTCAGTGACGGTAATGATAAGGCGATTATAATGAAGTTTCTAGTTTATTCATAATAGTGCAGTATATATGCATCTATGATGACTGAAATTGCAAAAGGCGTTGTCACGACCACAATCCTTAAAGTACATAAATTGTGTGATTAACTAAAGCAATAAAAAAAAGAATAACTAATTTTTTGACTAATCAAATACTTGGGTTCAATAAGTGAGAGTTAAAAACACATGTTCAACGGACGGATTTATTAAATGCAACACAAATATTAAAAAAACGAATTAAATTTATATTTATTGAATGTATTTTATCTTATTTAGTCCCAAACGTTATTTACACGTAATTATTTATGAGTTATTCTGCATGTTTTCCATCAGTTTCTGGTATACGGTATCGGGGGCCTTCTTCGAGAACTGGAAGTCCAGGTCTGTGAAGTGTTGTGGCTCTGGAACTTCGAAAGACTGCTTCACATTAGGTAGGTTTTCTTGGAGTTTCTCCACGTCCTTGGGATGGGCCAACCAGGCATCGTGGCTGTGGTAAAGATTGACAGGCGCGCTGACTTTGCTCAAGTCGTAACTAGGTGGTTCCGAAGTGCCGTACACTTTCATGTTGGTTTCTGCTCCGTAGTTGTATTTTCTAAAATCGTGCGACGCCACATTCTGACCGTATTGTTTCATGACCCGGGCGGATGTGCCGGCTGGCAGGTGGGCCATCACAACGGGAACTATATCCGCATCCTGGTTGTAAACGTTGATACCCGATATGACGTAGTTCAAGTTGTTACAGACGTGTCTGCAACCGAGTTTTTCCCTGCACGCAGCGCCGCCGAAGGTTTCGATCAAGTGTTTGCCAGGTTCGAAGGCTCCGTGACCGACTTGGTCGTGTATATACTGGTAGAACTTGCTCGTGGGCGCGATCATACGGAAGAGAGGCGAGCGTACATAATTCATGTAAACAATAGGAGACAACGCGTGCATCGAAACGATCTTTTCGTTGTACGAAGGCTGTTCAGACATCAGGGCGAAGAAGGTGGTCGCGCCTTGAGAATGGCCTATGTAATGAAGTCTCTCTTGGCCGCTAATATCCAAAACGTGGTCAATTATAGCGGGTAAGTCGTGAAGAGCGATCTCGTCATTGCTAAACTTCCAGAAGTCATTGAGTGCTGGGTGCTTGCTGACGTGAGAGCGGGAATATTTATTTCCACGAACATTACCCAGCCATACGTCGTAGCCGGCGTCAGAGAGCATGTAAGCGAGTGACTTACTGGGACCCATCAGTAACCAGTCGTCAGCACTTCCGAGTAAGCCGTGCATTAGAAGCGCGACCGGCTTCTTCTTATCGTCCCTGGTTTGGTGCGTGGGTGGAATGCGCAGGACAGTCAAATGGTAGCCGTCATCGGTGGCGACCGTGTGTTCTTCTACAGGGTATTGGTGTTTCTTGAGCAGCTCGGTAGCGTTTAGGTGGAAGTCCTCATTGTTTTCCCTTTGAGTTTCACTGATAGCGTCGTGGAAGGTATTTTTCTTTGCATCGTCAGTGAAATGATCCCACGTCTTGAGGGAGTCACCGAAAATATCCTCAATATCTTGCTCTGTCTGAACCGGCGAGTTAGGGCCGGAGGCCATTTCTATATTCTTCCAAACGACGGAATCGCCGTGATTGATATCAACTTCTTTCTTGAGTTTCATAATGACAGAATACACCGGCGAGTGGTGTTTCACGTTCATCTTATCGTGCACCTGCTTAGTTTCATCCTCTTGTGAACTGGAGCTTTGTGAACTCGAAGATTGGGAGGCTGAATGTGACGCCGCCGCACGAGACGCCGAATCCGAATCCGAATCAGAGTGCTGGTGGCTCCTCTTGTTCAAGGTTTGCTTGTGTAGTTTTTGTTTCTGCTGATGGATCTGCTGTTCGACATAGTCCAGAGGGTGTTGAATGATGTCATCCTGACTGTGTTGTTTCGTCATGAAGATGCTGCAGGAGATGCTCTGCACCAGCGTCAGACACAGCAATGCGTATATAGTCTTCATGTTGCCAACAGTTGATTGTGAGGTAAAGGGAAGAAGCGTGCGCTTTTATAGAAATGTAATCGCTAACTCAGCACTGTTCGTGCGGTACCTATTCTGGTCGGAAACAGATTCGTATGTCAGCATTATGTGTTTTCTAAGCGAAAATCGTTTACACTGCGTTGACTATTTTAGTGTGGAGTAAATATCTTCACGACCTCGTAAATAAATCAGACTAGGCAGGGATATTATTTCGTGGCACTAAAATTCTTGCTTTAAATTTCTTTGTTTATAAGAATATATGGAACTAACGTTAACGCGGTAGGCAGCGGCTTGGGCGGTAGGCAGCGGCTTTTGCGGTAGGCAGCGGCTTGGCTCTGCCTCTGGCATTGCTGAAGTCCATGGGCGACGGTAACCACTCACCATCCGGTGGGCCGTATGCTCGTCTGCCTACAAAAACAATACTTTCTCCTCTGTTTGTTAACCAATTGACAAAATTTGGGGTTGCCAATAAAAGTTGGTTGGCTGGTTGGTTGGTTAAAGTCATTTTTAAATCGAAATCATTAAAACAAAATAGGAAATAAAATGTACTATGAAAAATGGGCCTAAACATGGATATGTCAATAATTACTGACGGTCGAATTTCGATCAGTGACCAAAGCTGGTTATAATAAAAGTCCTATTTCCCAAGGCTTTTAAAAACATCTTAGGTGTAGCGGCATCATGCGGAAGAGGAGAGAGAAGAGAGTTTTTTAATATTCTGTATGAGTAGAAGGGCTCATGATTGCCCTTTTTATTTATTTACGGCAGGCACCATACACATCATGATGGGAATGACACCATTTACTTACAGAGTCTATTTTTTATCATATTAAACTTTTATAAGTTAAAAGATATCCACGATTCCAAACTATGGTTTTCATTTGTGTTATGGGTACCACAAACGATAAAAGAACAGGTACTTAGCGCAACAATTGCTGTGGAAGAGTACCTACCTAAGCGATTAGCGGTGCATCGCATTCCGATTCAAAAATAATCCGATTGTTCAAAAATATAGAACGCTAATAACAAAAACAAAGGTCTTTTATTATAATATGTTGTCTTCGTCATAGATTATGATAGTATCATAATATGTATTAGATGTTCTTAAACGCTATTGGTGGCAGCAACAGAAGCACAGAGAAACGTAATCGCTAAGCATAAGCGCAGAGTTCCAAATCAATCAATGGTTATATGGTATGAATATTATTTAGTCACAAAAACACAGCTTCATATCACTTAAAGGAATTTTTAAAAAATTTCAGTTAGTTTTGTATGTAACGGCTACTCCAGATTGAAAAAATAGCGTGATGAAACTTAACTCAAAAGCCGTTTAGCTTGGTAATTGTTATTGATAACAAAATATGCCTATAGTTTATTAATAAGAATATACTTCACTAACGTGGCCATGCTATATGCTATACGCCGACTATATATTTCTACGCCTAAATGATAAAATATATATCGATGGATAAAATCTAATAATTAAACAATAATTTTGTTTTTAATCTACGCCCCGAGGAAACTTTTTTCTGGTCGTATTATATGCCCGCGTAAGGATCTCCCTCTCTATTGGTGTCTGCTTGGGGGCAATGGATTGATCACACATTAATAAAGCCTGATACTCGTCTATCCAAGACAGCACTGACCTGGAAAGTGTCTGGCAAAAGGAAGAGAGGCCGTCCCAGAACAACTTGGCGTCGCTGAGCTGAGCAGGAGCTGGGCGTATTGGGCACGACGAGGGAGAAACTAGAACAGACTGCCCAAGACCGATGCAAATGGAAGATTTTGATTCGAGCTCCAGCAGAGGGTAATAGGAAAGAAGAAGAATAAGTATTAGATTCCCGCACAGGTGTGTACTACCGCCCTACGTATTTCTACTGCCAAGCAAACTTGCGTTCTCTTTCAAGGGTGAGACAATCGTATACAAAAGAGACTTCATGTTTAAGGTCTCTAGGTCTATCGGCTTTGTTCGCCCAAGAAAAAAATTACAAATGACTCAAAAGAAGCAATAGTAAACTCAATGTGGGTTGATGGTAAGATTTTTTGGATGGATAAATTTCCGAACGGAATACTTATGTGTCCTAACGCATGGATCAAACCTGGATTATTTTTGAAAACTCAAGTAGGGAGCGGCCAGCGACTTCTGGCGGAAAAGCGAAACACTAGCATTAAGACAATTTTCCCCCCTATCCGTTCGCGGATATAGGTGAGCTCACGGCCTCAACCTAAGAGAATTTGCTAAAACTAGCCCTAGCAAAAGCAGTGCTTCGCTGAATCTACCACTGGATCGGAATCGCGACCTGCTGAGAAGTTCCGGCGAGAAACTCAGTGGGCTGTCAGAAATTCAGTGGGCTTATAAGACAAGCGTAGGCAGCGGCTTGGATCTGCTCCTGGCATTGCTGACGTCCTTGAGCGATGGCCGTACGCTCGTCTGCCTATACGGCAATTAAAAGAAAAAGCTCCGTTAAAAGAGCATAAACTAGAGCTGACTCCAACTAACGGAGATCCACCGAAAGACAATAATGTTTTATAGCAACACGTCTCACAGCTTCCAGTATGAAAGCGTCACAATGTTCGAAAAACGTGTTTATTTAGTTTTGAAAGAGTATAAAATAGGACAAATTGAATCGCGAAAGTAGAAAATAAAAGTTAATTCAGCATTTTTTATTTGCGCAGTGCGTTACTGCGTGATTAAATACATACAAGTTTTGTAAATTATTTTGTAGCGGATAGGGTTAGGCATCAATTCTTTTTACGATATATACATAGTTTCACATAGGGTCGGCTTCTTGTCGTTTACTAGTTTATAAGGTATATAACGATAATGTAATGAGACAGTACTTGAGAGACCTTGCAGTCGAAGTCTCAATTGTATTGTATAACTAGCCTATTTCCGCCGTGAAGCAGCGTTTCGGTTTGAAGGGTGGGGTAACCCTTGCAACTTATTGAGACCTTAGAACTTATATCTCGAGGTGGGTGGCGCATTTACGTTTTAGATGTCTATGGGCTCTAGTAACCACTTAACACCAGGTGGACTGTGAGCTCGTCCTCCCATCTGTAGCGTGCAACACTCGGTCGCACTCGGGCGTCATCGGATGCGATCGGAGTTCCCGAACGCGCAGGTGTCCCGTGACGTCATGCTACGAGATTCGCGCGCATCGATTTAAGTTGATTGTAAAACGTATTAAAATTTTAGTTTTAATTTGTGCCTTGTAGTGCCTAGCGACTTGTTTACTCTTTTTACTTTATAATAGAACATTGTCTTCTTCTTCTCAGTCGTTCACTCCTGGCGGAGTGGTCGTGGTTACGTAAGTCTTAATATTTGGTTGCGGCTTTTGAGAGGCTTCTCCATCTCTCTCTATTTGTGGCGGTACGTGTACACTCAGTAAGGGAACACTTCGTAGAAAACTTAACCAAGTCTGTCCACCTTGTGGGTGATCGGCCGCGAGAGCGTTGACCGTCTANTTATTTGGACCTCAAGGCTGCTGTAGCCTCTACTCTAGGTAGGTATGTAGTTATACCGCTACTTGCTCGGTCGCCAGAGCCTCGTTGGTTATCTAGCAGGAAGTACCACGGAAGCCAATTGTCTTCCGCCGCCATCCAGCGCGTGCAGGTGAGGTTGACATTTGGGATGGCAGAGATGTTGATTACCTTCCCCTTACTCCCCATTGTACACATATTATATTATTATATTGTTGAATTGGTGTGTTTGACTTTTATGTGTTCGGAGCATAATATCCCGAGAATACAAAAAACAAACCACGCATCTAAAAAAAAAAAACTATGAAGTCCTATGAACGTCGACTTCGGCATTCCCATTAAGCCTTTAGGACTGAAAACCATTAAAAAATATTTAGTTTAAACTGTTCTAACATAATAAAAATATAACAAATCAGTTCATTCGCGTGCAATTTGAGATTCTCTTATATCTCACGTTTCCTAGAAAGTGAACTTTGTACAGTTATTTGTGGAAATGCACAATAATAAAACGCCAACATGATGTTTTTATGTTTCGTAACTTTATTATTCGAAACGTGTCGCGCAATTACAGTTAGGTAATTGCTGTAAAAAATCTAGAATGCTTTTGATCTGCGTAAAACTCGCTTCTTGGCCAAACAAGGGGCATGTTCACTGCGATTTGAGTATTCAGATCCTTTTATATTAGTTTACAGTATATTTTATAGCCGGAGCTTTAAAAGGCTTTAAGCTATAAGAAATGACGCGCAAATTTCGTACTTTTTTAGCGATGACAATCAAGAATATTATCTACGGTGAAAGCATTTAGTCTAATAAATATAGGACGTCACTGTACACAGCCTGCTTTACAATTAATCTATACTATAATATTATAAAGCTGAAGAGTTTGTTTGTTTGAACGCGCTTATCTCAGGAACTACTGGTCCGATTTGAAAAATTGTTTCAGTGTTAGATAGCCCATTTATCGAGGAAGGCTATAGGCTATAACATCACGCTAAGACCAATGCAAGCGGAGCACCAATAAAGAATGTTTCAAAATCGGTTTTTTCCCTTTTGAGAGCTTTCGCTGCGTACGCTGTAGAAACGGTTAAAGTTTCGCTAAAATAATGTATGACAGAATTGTTCCCCATTAAAAGATCTAAAAAAAAGTCCGCGACAGCATAATAATATGTCTATATGTTAAGGTTGTTTCACTATAACATTTTTTATGCTAACCAAATTTGTTCTAAAATAAAGCATTATTTGTGAACTATTTTCCACGAGGACGAAGTCGCGGGCAAAAGCTAGTAATTGTTATGTGCGAAGATCACTTCACTATTTAGGTATATAGTAGGTAGGTACATAGCTATCGCATGAGAATCACGGTGTGATGTCTATGGAGTTCAATAAGTACTTCCATATAAAGATGAAAAAACAAAAAGACTGATTTTGTCATCATCGTGGCCTAAAGAAGAAGCGGTGTTCTTTTCTTATTGCTGTTATAGACAGACGAGTATACACTCCATACGATGACCGCGTCGCTTGTGGATTTCAGCTATGCTACAGACACAGCTAAATCGCTTCCTACTAGATTTTTATGGACTTAAGCTTTTAATCCTGTTTTCCTCTATTATTAACGAATAAACCATTAGAGATGGATTACCAAGAGGTATACAGATAAAGCAGCTGTGTGAGTAACACATTCAACAAGGTGCCTGCGGTACCAGAATATTCTCTCGGCTCGCTTTCGGCTCAATTAACCCTACTTAGACACAGAAACTTCAAACTATTTAATTTCAATTGTTTCAATTTTTGCAATTCATTCGCGGAAATGAACATTTCCAAAAAACATACCTAATGGATTCAAGGCCACCTACTGACGGAGATGTGGACAATCCACAGTTCGCTAATAACACCATCAGCACGCACTCGTCATGAGAAACTTTGCTTTGATTGTGATCGTTATTATCTCCACAAATCAAGTGGGCGGACAATTAATCCGCTATACACTGTCAAGTACCTCCACTACCGTGAGTGCTCTTATAGATATGTTTTATCAACTACCGATTTTTTCTGGGCCATTTCGTGTGGCCGAAGAAATTATAAGCAGCGGCAGGGGTGCGATTACGTCATTATCGGGCACGGTAATCCACGCCCTTGGTGGTCATTTGCCGACTCTTATCANAAATCAAGTGGGCGGACAATTAATCCGCTATACACTGTCAAGTACCTCCACTACCGTGAGTGCTCTTATAGATATGTTTTATCAACTACCGATTTTTTCTGGGCCATTTCGTGTGGCCGAAGAAATTATAAGCAGCGGCAGGGGTGCGATTACGTCATTATCGGGCACGGTAATCCACGCCCTTGGTGGTCATTTGCCGACTCTTATCAACAAAACTATACTAAAACATTTTGACGACATCGTTGCAGATTACCACGCCGGTTTAGGGAATGAAGACATTACGCTTTCGATTGAGAAAATTATTGAGAAATACAATCATAAAGTGGAAAAACACTTTGTAACGACTGAGGATCAATATTGTTTAACCTTATTTCGAATACCTAATAAAGGACCAGCGGTGTTTTTGATGCACGGTTTGCTTGGAAGTTCGGATGATTTTGTTGTTGCAGGCCCCGAAGGCGGACTGGCCTTCCTCCTTGCCAGAGAAGGCTATGATGTGTGGATGGGGAATGCTCGTGGCAACAAACACTCAAAACAACATTTAATCTTAAATCCGTCGGACGCCATATTCTGGGACTTCTCATGGCATGAAATAGGTTACTATGATTTACCGGCGATGATCGATTACGTCCTCTCGTCTAAAAATACCTCATCGTTAAAATATATTGGGTATTCTCAAGGTACCACCACATTTTTTGTTATGACATCTGAGAGGCCGGAATATAACGAGAAAATTTCTGCAATGATCGCGTTATCTCCTGTAGCTTTCATGACGAAAGTAAGGTCACCCATCGTCAGACTATTCACGCCGGGAACTCCATTAATTTATTACATAACCAAAATTTTCGGGATACACGAGTTTCTACCGGACAACAACGTCATTCGGAGTTTAAAGTTTCTTCTGTGTGGTACTCTGCCGTTGGCGGAAATCTTGTGCAGTAATGTGATCTTCCTATTTACCGGTTTTGGTTATGAGCAATTGAACGTGACCAATCTTCCTGTACTATACGGGCACATGCCAGCCGGAGCGTCGGTTAAGCAGATCGTGCACTTCGGCCAAGGAACAATGTCTGGTGACTTCAAAATGTTTGATTACGGATATTTTAACTTAAAGCTGTACGGTAACAAAGAACCCCCACACTATCACCTGTACAAAGTTGTGACACCTGTGTATCTCTTCTACAGCGACGAAGACTGGCTTGCTCACCCTGACGATGTCGAGAAGCTGTATTCCAGTTTAGGCAACGCAAAAGAAATGTATAAAGTTCCATTTGAACCTTTTACTCATGTAGATTTCATTTGGGGAAAAGACGTAAAGACGTTGATTTACGAGAAGCTGAAAACTATCTTATTAACACATTAAATTACTATTGATTAAACGCCACTTTGACGAAAGGAAATAATTCATTTTAAACATTTTATTTGGTTTATGTACATAAATATTTTTACGTGACATATTTTCAAGCATTGTGACTAACCGAACTGGTTCCAGGTAGTATGGACGGTCCAGCCCACTGAGTTTCTCGCCGGATCTTCTCAGTGGGTTGCGTTTCCGATCCGGTGGTAGATTCAGCGAAGCACTACTCTTGCTAGGGTCAGTGTTAACAACACTCCGGTTTGAACCCCGTGAGCTCACCTACACACGTTAGGGTGAAGCTGAAATAGCCTCTGAAGGCTATCAGCATAGGAAGGGAAAAAAAGAAAAAAATGGACGGAATTAGCTCTAATTCGACGGTACTATGCAAAACAATATTTCCTCTTCGCCCTAAAGAATATTTTTGTAACGGTAAAAAAGTATTTGTACAATGTACATCATAATTGAAACAAAAATAATTCGAGTAAAACTTTTATTTACATCTTAATATAAAGCACATTTTTTATTAGAGACACCAATGCTTTTACAATGGCCGCGATTGACCTGTAACAAAAGATACGTATAAATAAGTCTATTAATAACCCTAGACATAATTATAATATGAAAAGTAAATACAGACTTGAATGAAACAGGCTGTAAAAATAATTTTAATTATGTATTCGACTCGCGAAATCGGGCTATGCCATATTTACAGATAATACCAATTAGACCTCCAGTAGTATTATTGATTTTTTTTTTACCACCAATTTTATTTACCAATTTTTCTAATGAAATACGTACTTGACAAATGTTCACGATTGACTTCCACGGTGAAGGAATAACATCGTGTAATAAAAATCAACATCGAAAAATTATAATTTGCGTAATTACTGNCTCGCGAAATCGGGCTATGCCATATTTACAGATAATACCAATTAGACCTCCAGTAGTATTATTGATTTTTTTTTTACCACCAATTTTATTTACCAATTTTTCTAATGAAATACGTACTTGACAAATGTTCACGATTGACTTCCACGGTGAAGGAATAACATCGTGTAATAAAAATCAACATCGAAAAATTATAATTTGCATAATTACTGGTTGTACGATATCTCGTGAGTCCGATCCGGTAGGTACCACCGCCCTGCCTATTTCTGTCGTGAAGCAGTAATGCGTTTCGGTTTGAAGGGTGGGGTAGCCGTTGTACTATACAAACTGAAACATTAGAACTCATATCTCAAGGTAGGTGGCAACATTTACGCTGTAGATGTTTATGGGCTCCTGTAATCACTTAACATCAGGTTGGCTGTGAGCTCATCCATCAATCAAAGCAATAAAAAAAATATAGAGTAAACTGATTTTGAAGTTGTACTTTAAAATATACATAATAATATAAAGAAATTAATAAGAGAAACGAAAAACTCTGCTTAAGTCACACACTTAGGTCTCTTCCCAATTTTCTGTTCAATATTAGTCTCAATAAAGACCATCATACCAACACAATTCTAAAGTTTACAAAAATAGTTTAAGAGAATAGTGTAAGAGGTTGCCACTCTGTAAAATTTGTTTACAAATATTGACGCTTGAAAGGCAAACGTGATTAAGTGACAATAACTGCTTTGTACATAAATGATAGGCAATAACCATATGCGATGCGCAAAAAATATCTTGCTAGGCCTATTAAAATAATTTCAATCCTACAGCTAGATTTGTTAAAATTGATTTTTTTTCAGGTATTTCAACTTTAAATTAGTCTACTGTAAAGTTCACGCATTGTCGCTTAGTCACGTTTGCCTTTCAAGCATTGATATGATTTTATGGCTGATTTTTTCACAGATGCAAATTGTATTATATACATTTTAATGATCATTTATTTAATTGTAAAGTATATTATTAAAAGCAGTGAAGAGTGTGTTACTCCGGCTTTCGATTTTATAATTTTTCAGAACTCAATAAATTGTCAGAATCATGTTTAGGGCTAATTAAAACTAATTTCTTTAAATATCTTTACCTATATCATTTGGAACTATTCGCATTTATGTAGTGATACAGGATAACTAATAAGAATATGGAGACTCCCAAAATGTTGGAGAAAACTGCGAGCTGGATGTCGGTGATCATTCTGAAATCAGAGAAAAAGTCTAATTAAGGATTTGAAAATTATTTTCGTTCTCTTTTTCTGTCGTATTCACATGGAACAAATAATTTATAAACACAAAACCTTCTCTCAAAAATCACAATGAAAAGTTTCAATGACCAAAAACCCAATATGATTGTTAATAAGTATAGAGTTTCAGTAATATGGTTATAAATTGCCATATGCAGATGACAATTCTTCTGGCTGATGACTCCGTGGTGACAGAGAATAACCCTCTGTGTCATTACTACGTAACTGCTGCACCTTAGACGGTAAAAGTTTACTGAGAAGGTGAAGAAAATTTGTCCAAGGTAAGTAGTTGATGCCAGATTCGGGTTTGGACAAACATTTCTAAAACCTGAAAAATAAATTCCAATAGATCTGTGTTGGTCCCAGAGACAGTGGGTTTATAGTCGCCCCAGACCTTGCGAGCAATAGCAAAACGCTTATTTGAGATATGATATTGATTAAAAATTAAGAGTAGGTTATTTACAGCTTTAGGCTGTTGTACAGCATTGTAGTTATTGATGTCAACAGAACATTCAAAACAAACATTCTCCATTTTTTTTAATTACAAAATAGAGAAATTTAAAGATCTTAAATCTTTAAAAGTATCTATAAACGTATGCGAATATTAAAATGTAAACGTTGAACTGTAAGTTTATTATTTGACGTTAAATTTACCGGTTCATTCATTATTTTCTTTTACAAATCTTATCTAGTTATTGCTTGAGGCAATACTTAGTTGTAAGATTATTTAATTTAGGTACTCACTTTAGATTGGATGTTTTAAACTGAATTAAATTATTAAAATTATGTATTAGTTTCGTGTTGAGATTTTTCTGGATCCGAGTTGACACCGGTAGGGAGGAACGAGGAACATCTGGTTGGGATGAAATATGAGATCGATTAAAGGAAGAATCGATAAAGAATTTGTACTTAATTGCTTGTACACATAATAATATTTTCGTCTTAATTGATAATTCGTCCTTTTACATTGGTTAATATTGCACCATTTGCATTTTGATTAATCGATTTATGTGTAATGTGAGTTACTGATTCGTTTCTATGTAAAGTTTTTCAAATATAAAAAAAGTAAAGCCCCAGCAACTCGAAAAGTAATCAATTTTCTTTGCATCGAATGTATTGTGAATCGATTCGAATCGATACTTTTCGGAATTAATTGCGATCTCTAACTTAAAACTTAATAGAATCAACATTATGCGACACGTCAGTCAACTTTTTTTTTTATTGGTCTATTAAACTAGCTTAAGAAACTTAGATATAAGGTCAAAGATTTTTTTACCAAAAGTCTAAAGTCATGTCTTTAGGAGAAAATAAAATGGAACAGAGTAATTGATTGATAAAATTGATTAAAGGATAGGATTGAATGAAAAATAATTAAATTAAGTAAAATCTGATAACACCGAGTAAAATGAGATAAAAAGCATTAATAATCCTTAAATTTAATGGTGGGAATGTAATGTATAATAGTATAATGGAATTTTTGAAGGCACTTGAGAAGTCATGTCTTGAGAAGTCATGAAAAAATTCACCTTCACAAATTGTGTACTTTCCTAAAAACACAAAAAATATGTAATAAGCACCATTAATAAAGGCCAAACCTGAAAAAACACTGATTAAGCAAAAATAAAACAAACGACTTATCATTAAAATAGCTGGATAAGGTTTTCGTTATACGTAGCATTGTGTGGTAAACCCACTAAGTTCGCCGGATCTTCTCAGTGGGACGCGTTTCCGATCCGGAGATAGATTCAATGAAGCACTCTTCCTCCTTAGGGCTAATGTTAGCAAATTAACCAGGACCAGGCCAAACCCCCGTGAGATCACCTGCATGTTCCGTGAAGCTAGTATATTATATCCTATGTGGTACAGTGTGTTTTCTGGCATTAACAATTTGGCATATATTGTTCAGGTTTGAAATGAGATCTGCATGGTTTGATTTTTGATTATGTATATATATACTCTTTCATTAACTTTTGACGAAACAAATGAAACAATTCAGTTTCACAAATTTCGATAAGGTGCTACTTTAAGTCACCATTGGTATCAGTTCACAAATCACACTTTATTAAAATCAAACGTATTAGCTGATAATGCCAAGATTGCCAAGTGTCAAAGTGTCTTAAAGCTGTCAAAGTGCTAATGTCAAAATTCCGCGTATAGCAAGACACAGTTTTCGATTTGTTTTGTTTTTCATAAACGTTTTATTCAAAATAATTGTATTTGAGACTCGCAAGTTTTTAATTGATTAGTTCACTGGTCCCGCATATGTCAATTTACGTAGTTCTAAATGTTGATGAATAACTAAAAAAATGTATTTCACCTCCGCAAGCTCTCGTTTGTTACTGTATGATTGTTTAACGTGGGAACTGAAAAAGTCCTACGGATGCTACGAGGGTCTGCTACGTGATATTTCATGGAGCGACGACAGCAAATACATATTGCAGGTAAAATATATTTCAAAGCATTAACAATTATTTAGGACTAGCTGACCCGGCAGACTTCGTAGTGCCTTAATCGATAAATGAAAGACCTAAACTTTTGTATAAAAGAAACTTAAAACAAACAAAAGAAATCCGACGGACGGGAGACACATTGAAAGAAAAACAAAATTGTTATTTTTATTTAATTCCGAGCATTTTCATATTTATTCCTTTTACAAATAATTCAAGACCGAAATTAGACAAATCGTTCCAGCCTTTCTCGATTTTTAACGAGACTAACGAACAGCAATTCATTTTTCTATATTATTATATAAATTCAATCACATTATTTTGAAAAACATACAAAATGTCAGCAAAGCCATCTGATGACCATCTGATTGGTCTATCGTAGCGATCAAATAACCAAAGGGCAACCACAGTTGAGCATATCAGTTTTACACATCCATAAGTACTAATATTAAGCTTTTACTTATGAAATTGCTGTTCTTGTAAACAGAAAGTTAGCTTTTTTTTAAATATTGATATTTCTATCAATCAAAATAAGCACTTATGAGATTGATACTTCTCTGCCAGTGAAAATTTGTTAATGAAGGATGAAGTCAAGCAATTTGGAGCCCCTGGAGCCTTTGGGGCAAACTCCACAAAGACATTTTACATTGCCTCTTTTTTCCATTCCTCTTAGTCTTTTGCACCCTTAGCAGCGTGGATGTGGTCATCAGTTCGGATGGTGGTGCTCTTCACAATATATCACCATTCCTCTTGAACCACAGCCTTTCTGGTCCACTTTTGATGGCACTTTGACCTTTTGATCTGTCCACTGTAACGGTAATTTGCTGCTTAGTGTTGTACCCTTCAATCAAGCTCTGCACCACAGGGTGTTCTGCTGAGTCGTCACCCCTATGTGTAGCATATGTGAGAATGTGACCCTGAATAGTGGAAGAGAGATGCTGCTTAATGCTGAGTTCCTGTACAAAAATGGAGAAGATGAGTGATCTTACAACTCTAATTTTAGTGACTTTGGTGACATTTCGATTCCCCCATATTTTCTTCAGCCTGTCCATTTGTGACCTCAAAATAGCCATACTCCGCTTTTATTCTTCAACGCACCCTCCGTTGTACAAAATTAGTGCGCCCAAGTTTGTATATATCATTGTATGCCATCACAGTTTGCAATTCTTGTGACCTCGGGTGAGTTATTATTAGAACCGTCGCCAATCATGATTGTTGTCTTGTTGCATTTAATTTTAAGTCTGAAATCAAGACTGGTGCGTTTTTTTATTGCTGATAAGTATGGCTACAATAAAATAATTTTTCTTAAACAAATTTTAATTCAAGTTTATTAAAATTTATTTTCTATTTTTTAGTTGGATTTTCTATAAAAGTGTATTTTGTTAGTTTTTTTAAACTGTTATTTATTTTTCATTTTTTGGTTGAATATCATTTCTTTAAATTTTTTTTGTTTTATTTTTCTTTAATATTGAATTATCATCGGTCCTTAATAAGCATACCAAATTTCGAGTTAATCCGACGTTTTGAAGGGGGTCAAAATCATGTTCAAATATTCCATTACAAACATACATACATACGTCTGAAGCTAATAAAAGCGTATTAATATTAGAATTGAAACATGCACAATATTGAACAGAAAATTGGGAAGAGACCTAAGTGTGTGACCTAAGCAGAGTTTTTGGTTTCTCTTATTAATTTCTTTATATTATTATGTATATTTTACAGTACAACTTCAAAATCAGTTTACTCTATTTTTTATTTATTGCTTAGATTGGTGGATGAGCTCACGGCCCACCTGATGTTAAGTGGTTACTGGAGCCCATAGACATCTACAACGTAAATGCGTCACCCACCTTGAGATATAAGTTCTAAGGTCTCAGTATAGTTATAACGGCTGCCCCACCCTTCAAGCCGAAACGCATTACTGCTTCACGGCAGAAATAGGCAGGGTAGTGGTACCTACCCGCGCGGACTCCTAACAGGTCCTACCACCAGTGATTACGCAAATTATAATTTTGCGGGTTTGATTTTTATTACACGATGTTATTCCTTCACCGTGGAAGTCAATCGCGAACGTTTGTTGAGTACGTATTTCATCAGAAAAATTGGTACTCGCCTGCGGGATTCGAACACCGGTGCATCGCATACGAATGCACCGGACGTCTTATCCTTTAGGCCACGACGGCAAAACGTTTCGGAAATATCTTCAAGGTTTGTCACCTTGCGAATTCTCAATAGGCCATGTTTTCCCTCTTTGCCTCCCCTAAATATTGAGGAACTTCCATCATGGTAATAGCCACTTTTTCAATTGTTTTTAATTATGTTAAACTGCACACAGAAACAATTAGTGTACTAAAAAATCGATTGTAATTTTTAATGGTTGCATATTCATAAAGGATTTTATTAACATTCCAGGTGAATTCAAAAGGCTTAGTTGAAATATTATCTGCAGCGGATCACGACGTCCGGAGTTTACAGCATTTATCATTAAAAGACAGCTGGTGTGCGAGCTTCCACCGAGATGGCCATCGTAACATAGCCGTAGGCACCAAGAACGGTAATGTAATGATATGGGACACGAAGAACCGAAGTGTCATAAAAACGTTTCCAACACCTTCACACCAGTCCGCTGTAAACTTTGTCAGCTACAATGCCAAGAATACTAGTTTAGCAGCGACCATGCAAAATGGTGACACGGTCATTTACGGTCTTGTATCAAACATTCCGGTTCTAACTGTCAAGCTGCCTTGTTCGAAAAGTATTTCGGCGATGAAGTTTCATCAAGATGCTCGCTCGCTTTTGGGGCTAGCAACCGATGAAGGTCACATCGTGCTCCGAGACGTAACCACGAATAAAGATAAAGTGTTCTTTGAAAATGTACACGGGGCTCCGGTCAGTGATATTGCGTACTCGCTGATCAATCGAGACGTTATGTTTTCCTGTGGCTACGATAAAATCATGCACGTTTATGATATTCGATTACAGAACATAGTTTCGACTATTAAGGCTGCTTACACATTGACCTCCCTAGCCGTGAACACAGAAAACCAAGTCGGTTTCGGTACGAAAAATGGCGTAGTCCTCATATACGACTTGAGAGATTTAACTATTCCATTCAAAATACTTAGAGGTCACGAAGATGAAGTTAGAAAGGTTACTTTTCAACCTTTGCGAAAGATGGCCTTCTCAGCTGAAATCAGCCTGCGAGAAGATACTGAATGTCTTTCGCCAACTAAAGTACACTCTCCGGTTCGTACAAGAACTTCGGATATGTTTTTCATAAGCGACACACCCCCAAAAAATAATCTCGAAATATCTAATCAAGGTGATGCTAAAGCAGATTCGTTTCTTGTCATGATGGGACTGGATAAATCGAACAATGATTTTGATGATGAAGGCAGTAAGTCTTTGGACCATGAAAGGAAAAGCGATAGGCACGAAGCAAGGTATCGCCAGTTGGACGCTGAAAAGAACATTAGTAAGATATCTACTCCTTTAACTAGCAGAACGATGGATAACTTAGTGTTTCCATCCCCTTTACCTTCCAACGGACTTGCCGAAGAAGCTCGAATATCAAATACAAATCTACCAATCAAACATTCTAGTTCTACTCCTTGCGTTGACGTAATGGAGAATAAATCCTTAGATGAATTAAAAGATTTTATTAAACTTACACTGACCGACGTCGCAGATGACAATAGAAATTATTTCCTGCACATCATGATGGCTCTGACAAAACAAAAATTATATTTAGAGAAACAACTGTCCAACATGAATGAGCAGATTCAGAATCTAACCTACAACCAAGATGTTTTAGTTGAGACAAACAGAAAGCTGGCTTTAGAAATTGATCAATTGAAAAAGAGAACTAGCTTTAATAAAACTTAAAAAGTTCCAGGTGTACTTATAAAGTTTTGGAGCTCTAATTTATTTTAAGCAAAAGTACATCAAACTTCATAATACAATATAGGAAGTTTGAAGAACTTTAGCTAAACTTACACACACTTATTATTATTTACAATTATTTATATTACACAATTGTTATTTATCAGGTTCTTACTACGATTTTCACATTTCACGAGTTGCCGATATTTCGGCGTGTTGCAATGGTTACGATCAGGCATAGACTGAAGGTTGCGGGTAGGATGTTAGGAGCAAAACAAAAAGTAAAGTAGACATTGCTTATGAAAATACCAAAAAAAAAGTAAACATTTTTTTGCCAAATTAATAGTAGGATTAACATTGAAGTTATTTCTGCTGACTGCGAATTCATTTAAAAACGCTTGTAGCATCATTTTAGTAATTTTTATGTCTCCTTTTATGCCATTGAGCTGGGTAAGGGATCTGATGGTATTAAGCGTTGATCGGCGTCCATTGCACTATGAGAAAGTCGTCTAACGGATGTGCAGCCTTTTAGGCGACCGGTAATAGGATGGCAACACCAATGTGTCTCCACAATACGCCCAATCAGTAATGGTATAGGCGCGTCACTCAATACGAATAAGCTTTGTCCCTAAAAGAACTGATTTTCAGAACCATTCGAATTCATTTTAAGTTTGTTATGACCTATTAACAGACGTTACACTGTAGCGTCTCTAAGCGATGCCTGCCACTTATTATCAGCTGAGCTGCAATCTCAATTGCCATATTTTATAAAAAATTAATGAAATGTTGTTGACTTTTCATAATCCTAGGTAGAATATTTTTAAAACTGTAAAATAATAATTGAAAGACATTTAGTTAATTTTAATATAATTATACAAATATAAATAATAGTTGTGCCAAATTTAATACCGTTCGTAAAATTACGGACTTAAAAATTTCCAATATTTAAATTATTTTTTTGTCTCTTTCGTTGTGTTTGTAATGTAAATTAAATAAAGTAAATTTGTAATAAATATTCCGGCATCAATACCTAATAGTATAGGGTCCTTAGGAACGGATTCTTTGTAATTTAAAAATAATAAACATAACATATTTTCAACTCCTCTTTTTATTTAACAAAATATTTTAAATATTATCATTGAACACTTAAAGTGTGTTGTAAATTAAAAAAAAAACGTAATTGTCTATTTAGCAAATTGGTCAAGTTATTGGAGATCTGTTTAATGAAAATTATCACACTCATAATTAGTTAATCATATACAAATTTTGCATCTATCTAAATTGTTCTGTTTTCGTGTTTATTTTGACAATAATGTTAATAATTGATGTATTTTTGTGTATGAATTTGTTATATTTATAAATAATATTAGCTTCCTTATTAATTTATGTAATTAAATTAGCTAGTACACTACTAATTTTATTAAATGCCTATAATTTTTAATTGTTTTTTTTTTCAAAGCATATAATGAGCCTTTTCTATTGGCACTTCAGTTTCAAGTAGTCACATCTATAGATCTTAGTGTAGGAATGGTAGGTAATAAATACGACATCGATGTTGGGAGAAAAACATGGTAAGGCGGGTACTAACGTCTAACGAAAGACCACTGTTATTTACAGCATTGGTCTTCCGTCGTGTGGGGTACGAACTGCTTGAATTGCTTCCCTTTTATAAATTATAAATTATTATTATCTATGCTGTTTTCATCCATGGACTAAGGCTCTTTAACAAGTTTTCCCAAGTTACAACAAGTTTCTTCCATTTAATCTACATGGGTGCCACTCCGGGAAGGACCGCTTAATTGCTGGGGATGAGATTAAATCCTTTATCGATATCCTGTAAAACAATTGTGGTGACCTAAAGAATAAGATGGACAGACAGACACAAATGAACGAGTTTTTGGCGGAAACGCCAGGAGCGAAGTTGTGTGTATTGTTTTTTTTTTTTTTTTTTTNGCTATGACACGGGACCGGAAAGTCCACAACCTGTGACTCCTAGTCACTCGCCGGCGCCGAATGTCTTGCAACCATCGCGTCAGCGCCGTAAAGCTGCTTTAACGTGTATTCAGAGAATTAAGGACCAAAATTACTAAATATATTTACATATGTGTGTATAAGATTATATACTTGTATTTATGACAGGTATACTAGTAATCTAAATGTTGAGAATAAGAACAACATGAAAATTGTGTTTAGAGCCTTATAGGGTTATTGTTCGCATATTATTTGGTTAGGAAATAGCGGTATAAACATCATTTGTGTATATGTATTTTTATGTTAGTTATAATCATACGATATTTGTTTCCTGTGAACACTCACTTTTGAAATTGCCTGTTTTTACTGTCATGTGTAAGCAATATCATATAACGCGTTGTTTCAACCATGTTCTCTCATTTATTCAGCATTCGGGAATTTGTATTCCATTAATTTAAGAGGAGGACAATGTTATGTATAGATATTAAGTCACATTATAAAAGGGCAGGTAGATGCAAAAATAAAGCAGTCTGCTTTGGAATTCCGACTTTCATTTGTAATACACAACAATATATTATAAATTATTATTATCTATGCTGTTTTCATCCATGGACTGAGGCTCTTTAACAAGTTTTCCCAAGTTACCATAAGTTTCTCCCATTTAATCTACATGGGTGCCACTCCGGGAAGGACCGCTTAATTGCAGGGGATGAGATTAAATCCTTTATCGATATCCTGTAAAACAATTGTAGGGACCTAAAGAATAAGATGGACAGACAGACACAAATGAACGAGTTTTTGGCGGAAACGCCAGGAGCGAAGTTGTGTGTATTGTTTCTTTTTTTTAATTTAGTGTTTCTTCAGGCTTAAAGGCTTCGTCAAACAGAAAGCGTAATTAGCGCGCGTCAGAGCGCTACGCTATGACGCCGAGATGTGTTGTACTACTATGGTAACATACCGTCAAACAGAGCGCTAGCGCTATAGCGCTCATAGCGCTGGCGCTCTGTTTGACGGTATAATACCGTAGTAGTACAATACATCTCGGCGTCATAGCGCGGCGTTAGTTTAGCGCTCTGACGCGCGCTAAGTACGCGTTCTGTTTGACGAAGGCTTAAACGTGTAGTAATGGTGCTTTAATTACTGTTTTGCATCCGTAAAAGCGCATATGTGGGAAAATGAAACAGTCGCTTGACATGTCTTTTCGGACTCTTCCAAAAAGTCCACTAAAGTCTCTGTAAATAACTGTCATTTTACTGTGACTTTATTTCATCCCATCTCACCTCATTTTATTTAATTTCATCGATATCATTTTTCCCTTTACGTTATTTTTCATTTAACAGAATATAAAAAAAAAATTGTCTGTATGAAGTGATACTTTCGCCATTCATATTGAAAAATGGAATTATTACCATAGATTATACACTTAATATTATTACTGTCATTTATGTCATTTTCTGTTAATTTGAGGTTATAAATTGGGATTAATGTAACGGAAAAAACACTTAGTTCATAATAACAATGAGTGAAAACATAGCTACGAACCTTTTTGAGGCCCAAACGATACATGCCGATCACAAAGACCTTATTCACGATGTCGCGTACGACTTCTACGGAGAGAGAATGGCCACTTGTTCCAGTGATCAATACGTAAAGGTACATTCTTTATATTATTTTTAATTAGAGTACGTACCTTTGTTTTACGAACGTATAGTTGTAAAACGTTGTAAAATGCAATTTTTTTAGTCTTCAGGTAATTCACGAAAGCTTGGCTGCTTCGTAGTAATAAGCAATCGTGAAAGTTAATAATTTGGAATATGTTATTTTTTATCATAGATATGGGACACAGACGGGCATGGAGGCTGGCGGATGACAGCGAGCTGGAAGGCTCATCACGGCTCTGTTTGGAAAGTTACATGGGCCCACCCAGAGTTTGGACAGGTCATTGCGACTTGCTCCTTTGATAGAACAGCTGCTATTTGGGAGGAAGTGGGTATGTGGAACCATTTATTCATACCATTTAGCATTAAATTTATTACTTTTTCTAGATGAGTTGTTTTATAATATATTTTATGTATAGCTGCTGGCAGGCTTGCTGCAGGCTAGCTGACCTGGCAGGCTTCGTAGTGCCTCAATCGATAAATAAACTAAACTTTTGTATAAAATAAACTTAAAACAAAAAAAGGAATCCTACCGGCAGGGGATACATCAAAGGAAAACAAAATTGTTATTTTTATTTAATTCCGAGCATTTTCATATTTAGCTACCTTTTAAACCTTCTCTGGACCTCTACAAATAATACAATACCAAAATTAGCCAAATCGGTCCAGCCGTTCTCGAGTTTTAGTGAGCAGCAATTTATTTTTATATATATAGATTATAGTATATTCTTGTAAGTTTTAGCCACAATTTACCCATTTTTTTGAAGAATGTAAGGTGTAGGGTGCCTGCTTTTCATAGTTTTGCATCATGGTACATTCAATGTACTTCTGAAAGCTTTCATTAGTCTTTTGTGTTTGGGTAGACAGACTGAGATCTTAGATCCCATATCACTTAACATGAGGTGGGCTGTGAGCTCGTCCACCCACCTAAGCAATAAAAAAATTACATTCTAGGAAACCTAGCTTGGAAGTTGCAAAATAATATAAATTTTAAACATAAAGTGTGAAAAACTGTGATCAAAGAATGGCCTATTTAGTCATCACTAGCACCATCACTAGTCATGCAGAGATATACACAAGCCAAGTGCAGAATAGTAGGACTATATAGTTCAAAATGATTGGTTCAAATAAATATGTATTCAATATTGTATTCAGGTGACACCACAGCAACAGGCTCTGAAAAGAGTCTACGTACATGGCTGAAGCGCTCGAACCTCGTTGATTCAAGAACTTCAGTAACAGATGTTAAATTTGGACCCAAACATTTAGGTCTGCTTCTAGTTACATGCTCAGCTGATGGCATTATAAGGTATTATGTTGATCCATAACACATCACACATCAGTTAAACATGCTGGTACTATTTATTTCAAGCATAAACTGATAGCTACCACCACCCTGCCTATTTTTCTGCAGTGAAGCAGTCTCGTTTTCGAATTTTTAGGCTATTTTAGTAGATGGTTGAGAATTTGGGCCTAAATGTGAGTGGTGGCTTATGCAATAATATTGGCAGCTATTAACCTAGAGTAAGCTGTAAGCATTATCTGTTTTTCTACATTTTCAACATTTAAATTCAACTAATTACCACTTTTCATTTGAATTAATTCTGTGTCGTTCTAGATAAATAGTTGACCTCAGAATCCAGATATGGCTATGTTGTTACTGGTATAGCAATACTGTTCTTCATCTTCTCTTTTTAATCTGTTTGAAGCGAAAACAACATTCTGTTTGATTTACAGAATATATGAGGCTCCGGATGTGATGAATTTGGCACAATGGACCCTCCAGCACGAGATACCGACGAAAGTTTCAATTAGTTGCTTATCATGGAACCCTTCATTGTCTAGGTAGGTATGTATTTTTATTATCATTGGAGGTAGCAAATAGCCCATCTGATCGTAACTGGAAATAGTCACTCATGGACAACAAGTAGTCAACAACAACAGTCAACAACAACAACAATAATAACGTGTAGTCAACAAAGAGTTCTTTTAAGTCCCCAGATACTCATAAAACAGCAGGGAATTTAGTTTAGAGGTTGAGAGTGAGAGTAAGAGAGAGTTTTTGGGAGCAAATTGTGTTTTTACTGTGTAAAATAAAACTGTTCTGTTGGCTTGTTTTAGTGACTACTTTGTAATATAATTCTTCAATATTGCATTTTTTTTTCTAGGGTAGGAAACCCACCAATGTTGGCAGTAGGCAGTGATGAACCTAACACAACAAATGCCTTAGCATCAGTGCCATCTGATAAGAGCACAGCTTGCAATGGAAAAGTTTTTATTTATGAGTAAGTATTGATTTATGATATGTTTTTGAATGTAATTTATGAAGTGTAACACATGGGTTACATGTATTAAATATACACTACATTTTTTTTTTTTTTACTTTTTTTTTTTTAACTTGATAAATTATACTTTTCATAAATTATACTTTTTATATGTAAATATCTGAAAGTGGCACCTGTGACAGAGAAGCTGAGGAGTGCACGTTTGGGATGGTATGGACATGTGATGAGACGAAATGAAAATGAGGTTGTTAAGAGAGTGTTAACTATGAATGTGGAAGGATTTAGAGGAAGAGGTAGACCTAAGAAGAAATGGATGGATTGTGTGAAAGACGATATGGGTAGGAGGGGAGTGAGTGAAGAAATGGTATATGATAGAAGAGTATGGAAGGGGAAAACATGTTGCGCCGACCCCAGGTGACTGGGAGAAGGGCAGGATAATGATATGTAAATATCTAAAATACTTATTACTTGAAATAATGATAATTCTAGACAGTGACTTGGATGTGCTCCTGCTATTGACAATGTCTACTGTTAGCAGTGATTTAAAACTACCAGTATTTGTATTTAATGTAGATTTGCAAATTTTTATAGTTGTCTATAGCCCGGGGAAGATTTTTGTCATAGTTTGGAGAGTATAAAAGGAAGATCTTCAACTGAGTGGGTGATATTGCTTGGTAGACAGACAGTCCGAACGTATTGTGTAAAAAAAAAAAACGATGTGTATTGTGTGCCTAATAAAAAATTAATAAAAAAACAAAATTACTAAGTAAATAAATTTGTGTTCAGATACAGTGAAACATCTCGTCGTTGGACGAGAACGGACTGTCTGTCATCCGTCCAGGAGCCGGTCAACGACCTCGCCTTCGCTCCCAACCTCGGCCGCTCGTTCCATCTCCTCGCCGTAGCCGCCAAGGACCTGAGGATCATTAAAATCGAACCACTTTCGTGAGTACTTCATTATCTACTCATTGACAGATACTACTACAGATGATCCAAAATGTAAGGTTTCCGTTAGAATTCACAGAAGAGCCGGTAAGCAAATGATGATAAAGTACCGTTTGAAAATGATTCATTTCTGTGGCACTATAAACAGAACACCAGCCAGATGGTCAGATCTAGTTCAGAAAGTGGTTGGTGGTAGTGAGAGAGAGAGAGGGAGAGAATACACTTTATTGCACACCAAAACACAATTTACATTCAAATCAGTCGAAAAGCAGATCGATTTGTACAATAGGCTAAAAGCAATCTCTTCCAGACAACCGTTTCATTTAGAGAAATTCTGGAAAATATAAAAATATTGCAGGTATGTTAGTCTATACCATGCGGTCCATGATCAAAAACTATGGAGGAAAGTCACATGTGGTCACGATCTTTAGCGGTGAGGGAACGATGAAGAAGACAGAATAAATATTGCATGAATTTTGAGCACTTTTTTTATTGCATAGATAGGTGGACGAGCTCACAGCCCACCTGGGGTTAAGTAGTTACCGGAGCCCATAGACATTTACAACGTAAATGCTGCCACCCACCTTGAGATATAAGTTCCAAGGTCTCAGTACAGTTACAACGGCTGCCCCGCCCTTCAAACCCAAACGCATTACTGCTAAACGGCAGAAATAGGCGGGGCTGTGGTACCTACCCGCGCGGACTCACAAGAGGTCCTACCACCAGTAAAACCTTCGTTTTGTGTATTCTATTTAGTTTGCACTCGTTGGAATACAACATTTAAATTATTATTGTGACGTCACAGTGAATCGTCTATCTCCGCGAACGGTTTGGGCGTGCGGTTCAAGAGTGAAGTAATGGCGGCCTTCGACGAGCACTACTCGTGCGTCTGGAGGGTGTCGTGGAACCCCACCGGGACCCTGCTGGCCTCGTCGGGGGACGACAGCTGTGTCAGACTATGGAATAGTAAGGAATGATAATAACCATGTCAATTGTTTAGTTTAAATAAATTGTGCTTGATTTGATATCTATTCCAGATGCATAGTTTCCTAAGATATACTCTTCGATTTCGATCGTTTGTAAGAGTGGGACAACAATACAATTGAGAATTTGACTTCATTGAGCCAATGAGTGAAATGTTCACTTTGAACTTCTTTGTCTACGGTATGATTGACTCTCGGTCTTGTATTGTATATGGCATTGTTTGAGATGATTCCGTTGTATGCACTTTGCCATGGTCAGAGTTCATTTTTGATTCTTTTGATGTATTCTCAAATGAGTTGTGTGGAAGTAGTTCTTTGCTGAAGGCAGCGGCTCAGGGGCCATCCATAAGTTACGTCACACGAATTTTAGAACTTTTGAACCCCTCCCCCCGTCCTTGTCACATGTTGTCACATTTTTATATCATGATGTGACGTCACACATATTTTCCAATTTATGCATAAATTTAAAAATAAACGCGAGAAAATAGCTGTTTTCATTTGTTTTACTTCATTTATTAAATAATCTAATAAAATCAAGATACAGTTCAATATTTTAGGTACCTAACCGAAAAAACAAACGGCTAGTTCGAAAGCTCTACAAGTTAAATCACGTTGCATGAGAGATAATCTCATAGCGAGAATGTTAAATTATTAATAACTATAGTTCGTTTTCGTAGATTTTAAAAAATTGTTATTCACATCTAAACTTCGCGTTGTTAATATTTTAAATTTTAACATGTCACGTCACAAAACTATTGACCCCCCCCCCCAATCAACGTGTGACGTAATTTATGGATGACCCCTTAGCTTTGCCGTTAGCATTACTGATGTGCACCAGGGGCGCTGATCGTTGAGCACAGGGTGGGGCTGGCAAAGTAACGGTTATTGGCTTTTACAGTGCAATACCTGAACCAGTGGAAGTGCGTGGCCGTGTTCAAAAATGAGACGGTGGGCGGAGACAGCGCGCCCGCCGCCCGCGCGCACACCGCCTACACGCGCCTCGCCGCCATGGCCAACCCCGCGCACATGCCCGTGCACTGACGCGACACGAGGTGAGTGTCATTTTTTTTTCTCCTACCTACGCCGAAAGTTCAGTTTTCCTCCCGCTGTACAGGGAAGAAAGTGTAACTTTTCCTCCCTGGGTACTGACAAGTGCGCATGCGCGTGAGTGTTTACGTCTGCTCTCACGCACCTAAAATTCTCCGCCATTATTGTGCTCAGGTAATTTGAAATATTGTGTTAGTGTAAAATAAACAAAAGGCAATAAAATTTAATACTAAAGTATTAAACAAAGATGAGTTCATCAGACAGTTCTTATTCAATTAGTAGTAGTTTATTTAAAAATTAAAAAACAGTTAAATTGCTTTTTTTATGAGTATGGGGGGGCCCCGCCCCCCCACCCCCTGCCAGGGCTTCACCCCTGGACCCCGGCTCGGTACTCCACGAACTTTCGGCCTGGTAGGAGAAAAAATAGTATGAACACCGCGGGAAAAAAGTAAGACATCTCATCCCGCGTGTTTGCAATTTTACACGCGGGAGGAAATGTCCTACTTTTCTCCCTTGATGCACAATGTACTATGTTTTTATTGCTTAGATGGGTGGACAAGCTCACAACCCACAACAATTAGTAAACCATTATCGACCCTAAATAGTAAACAGCCATCTTTATATTTCACATCATCATCATCATCATTCTCCTGCCCTTCTCCCAGTCACCTGGTGTCGACGCAACATGTTTTCTCCTTCCATACTCCTCTATCATTTCATCATCATCATCATCATCATCATCAACAGCCCACAGTCGTCCACTGCTGGACATAGGCCTCTCCCAATCCACACCACTGAGCCCGGTCTGCGGCTCTCCTCATCCACTTCTTGCCGGCCACCCTGCAGAGGTCATCGCACCACCTAGGCTATCATTTACCTTTTTTTTATTGCTTAGATGGGTAGACGAGCTCACAGCCCACCTGATGTTAAGTGGTTACTGGAGCCCATAGACATCTACAACGTAAATGCGCCACCCACCTTGAGATATAAGTTCTAAGGTCTCAGTATAGTTACAACGGCTGCCCCACCCTGCAAACCGAAACGCATTACTGCTTCACGGCAGAAATAGGTAAGGCGGTGGTACCTACCCGTGCAACTCACAAGAGGTCCTACCACCAGTAATTACGCAAATTATCAACCCGCAAGGTTTGATTTTTATTACACTATGGTTATTCCTTCACCGTGGAAGTCAATGGTGAACATTTGTTAAGTACGTATTTTATTAGAAAAATTGGTACCCGCCTGCGGGATTCGAACACCGGTGCATCGCTACACACGAATGCACCGGACGTCTTATTCTTTAGGCCACGACGACCAATTCGAGATATTCGCCTAATTTGGCCTAAAATGACTGGACTACACGTGCCTCGCCCGCCGTCGCACTCAACGAGGTCAGGGCAATGGTTGCGCCAATTCGTCCAATGAAAATCGTAGAAAATATAATAAACGCATTGCCTTCATAATAAAATTTTATTTTCACAATGACTACATTCACTGAAAACACGTTTCTACTTTAGCGGCGTTGTTCTTCTCAGCCTTTGTAATGGAGTCGATTCTCGGTCACGTCTCGTTGAATACCATCCAACCTTGAACATTTTGAATCAATTACACGTCTTCTTCATAACCAACAGTGCTAATGGCTATTGTTTAATGAATGTGGACCTCGACAACGAACCCATTGTCACGCAGCCTGATAGGGCTCCTCCCACGAGAGCGCCAGCCGCCGGCGGCTTGGGGTGCAGACATCGTCACTAAACCTATTTTTTCTATATTGAAACTACTCTCTAAGGCTTTTGTACAAATAATATATCGACGCTTGAAAGGCAAACGTGACAAAGCGACAATAACTGCTTATACATAAATGATAGGCAATAACCATATTCGATGCGCAAAAAAAATATTTCTAGGTCTATTAAAATAATTTCAATCCTACAGCTAGATCCGTTAAATAGAATTTTTTTCAGGTATTTTAACTTGAAATTAGTCTACTGTAAAGTTCACGCATTGTCGCTTAGTCACGTTTGCTTTTTTTTTCCTACCTAAGCTGGTAGTCTAGAGAGGCTATTCCAGCGTAACCGTAACTAGTAGGTGAGCTTACGGGGCTCAAACCTGACGACGTTGCTAACTCGAACCCTAGCAAGAGCCGTGCTTCGCAGAATCTACCACCGGATCGGAAACGCGACCCACTGAGAAGATTCGGCGAGAAACTCGGTGGGCTGTGTCTGAGAGCTAATTTACTCGTCGAGCCCTTCCTCGCAAGCGACGGGTTCGATGAGAACGATGACCGGTTAGTGTCACCAATAGATCATTTAGCACAGGAGTGACTTGTGACTTATTTCTGTACACCAGTACCGACAGCATAAACACACAAATAAAATATAGAAGTGTATTTCGTTACCGGCAATGCTCTTTCGCTCTTGCTGTGGCTGTTAGATGAAGAGTGAGGACTCGTGATGTTCCTGTGAAAAAAAAATCACACTTCGTTTTGTGACAAAAATCAAGTTTTTTTTAAAAAAATTTTTTATCGTTTTTAAGACCTCAACGTTTTTGTATTAATGCACGTATTTCTTGTGAAACGAACTTGTATCGGCGAACAAGTCCGCGTATTGTCTAAATGTAAACAAGAGTTTAATTCTTTGCACTCGAGCGGTGAGGTATCTATCGCTTACCGCATGATTTAATTATAATCGACAAAAAGAACGATAAGAACATAAATCAAAAACGTATTGTTACACCAGACAGAGTTCACGCCATATGTCGTCGAATAGCAGAAACGAGTATGAAAATAACTAGTAATATCGAGAACGCTCGAGAAGTGTAGCGCCATCTATTATCAAATATCGGAAACACATATCGAAACGACTGGTCTTGCCGGGAATGTTCTCGATAATTGTAGAGACGTCGTATGGCTCACAACCCACAACACGGATTACCTGAAGCGAAGCGCTTTCGCTTAAAATTCACATCACTTCACTTCACAAAACTTACTCACTTAAAGAAGTGAGAATTTCAAAGTGTTCGTTGAGTGTTCCAAGTGTTTAATAGAGTTTTAATTTGTATTTCGGTGCAAGCTTTATTTATCCCGAACCCGAGCGCGTAACAATACAAACAAGGCGTCAAACATCAAAATTAAATAAAGTAATTTCTATAGTTTACACAGTGCACCGAAATTCCGCACCAAAGCGGTGAGCGATACTCAACTCTCGCGTGCAAAGGGTCAATAGTTACGTCCACGGATTCCTGATACATATATCAGGAAATAGGAATTGTGGTTTTTGACGAATCACGAAAATTCGTAATGAGCTCAAGTTAAAGATATATCTATATATTAATACGTGAAGCAAAAACTTTGTATCCCTTTTTACGAAAATTGCGCGGACGGAGGAGTATGAAATTTTCCACACTTATAGAGAATATAGAGAAGAAGCGCACAATGCAATTTTTTTTAAAAATAATGCATAAAAGATACTATAAATCAATAAAGAGAACATTACACACATTACATACCATGTATTTGACGCACACACGCATGCATACTATTTACTGTCAAACTTTTGTTCTTGACGTCTGTTGTCAAATTGAGAATAGATTAAATATTATTTGTCTTTGTTGATATTTTTATAGTGTAGTCTTGGCGAAATTTGTAATTATAGAAGTGTGTCTTTGAAAATTGAATCATAATAGTGTCCAAGCTTTTAATTTCAATTAATTATAGTAGAATTTCGACTACTGCGGGACCACTAGTAATTGTAAATAGACATGCTTTAAAAAAATCGACTTCAAATCACTAAAAAAAATAATCATCGAAATCGGTTGGCGTGATATTGAGTTATTCATCTATTTGTCGCGCACGTACTTAATGCAAATTTAAGACTTATATGGTTTTCTCATGGATTTCCAATATTCGTGATTCGTCAAAAAAACGTATTTTATAGTTTTTTTTTTTAAAGTAAACGAAAAATGCTCACCCCAAAGAAGCTCTTTTAATGGAAGTCGCATTACTTTGGTACAAGATCCGGGGCGCGGCGCTCAACAGTTCACTCGTTCTCCAACTAACAACAGAGACGTGCCGACGAGATGAGTTATTTGTGTATCATAGTGTGTTACAGGACAAAACCACCAATTAACAAATCGGAGACTTGTCAATTTACAAAAAAAAAAAAAAAAATTTTTTTTTGGGAAACTCAATGTATTACGATAATTTCAAAATAACATATGCAAATGATTAGAAATAATGTCTTACGTAATTGCGTAAGAAATATATTCGTTAAGAAAGAAAGAAAAAAAAGAAAATAAAACAATTACATATTAGGTTACAATTCATTGCTCTTGACATTTATTACTGGTGGTAGGACCTCTTGTGAGTCCGTGCGGGAACCACCACCCCGCCTATTTCTGCCGTGAAGCAGTAATGCGTTTCGGTTTGAAGGGTGGGGCAGTCGTTGTAATTATACTTGAGACCTTAGAACTTATATCTCAAAGGTGGGTGGCGCATTTACGTTGTAGATGTCTATGGGCCCCAGTAACCACTTAACAGGTGGGCTGTGAGCTCGTCCACCTATTTAAGCAATAAAAAATGTATAAAAACGCAATCCATCCATTTCTTCTTAGGTCTACCTCTCCCTCTATATCCTTCCACATTCATTGTTAACACTCTCTTACCAACCTCATTTTCATTTCGTCTCATCACATGTCCATACCATCCCAAATGCGCGCTCAGATACATTAATCGAATAAGAATGAACTATGTTGTACATATGTCAGTTTGTTTGATCAGCTCGTGGATCAGTGCTACTCACCTCGGCAGCGCGTCGCCTGCCTTCCTGTAAAACTGTGTCGAAGCATTCCCTACCCTATTAGGGCAGCTGTTAAGTCTAGGTTTCAATTCATCAATGATTTTCCTCGTCGATAAAACCCTGTTGTTTTTTATCGTCTCCATATTGGAATGTTCGTCGATACTGGGCAGTCTTGAAGACAAACAGTCACCGTTATCGTACATTCTGGACGGTGGGGGTTTGACTCTGTTCTGAAGTTTTACGTCGCTCTTTTCAACAGCCGATTTCAGGCTCGCTTGAAGGGCAGTTTTAGAAATTTCAATTTTACTGCCCAGACTTTCGGTCCTCTCTTGTTTGGCGCGATATTCTGGTGGCGACAAGGGTCTAGCTTCGATGCTATTCGGCGACCATAATAAGTCTGTCCCTGGCAAAGCCCTCATGTTGAACAAATGCGCCTTGATGTTGTACATGCCAGCTGTCGAGCCGAAGGGGTCAGCTTTTATTTGCGCAACCACGTCCATTATCGTTTGACCACACAGCTCTGATATTTGCCTGTAAATCTAAGCGGTTTCGAGTTACAAATTTTATGAAATACATTCTTTTTAGACGCAACTAATTTGTAAGGTGTTTAACGCGTTTCAAGCTAAAGGCAACACCTGTCTGCCTCCGAGATTCGGGTATGGATTGTGCCAAAGGGGTTTTAGTCGGTTCGACACTAAAGCATACCTGTAATCGACCGGTATAAAAACCCGATCAAGCTATCTCCATTGTTATAATAAACGGACAGACTGGTATTATGTATGATCCTTAATCCCTAAGTCGCAGCAGTACATCTATACTTTTATACTAATATACTAGTGGTCCCCCGGTAGTCGAAATTCGACTATAATTAATTGAAATTATTAGTTTGTTTATGGTTCTATTGTCAAGTACTATTATAATTCTTTAATCACAGATTTCGCCAAGACTACACTTGAGACAATTAATGTTAAAGATAAACAATATCTATTCTATTCTCAATTTGACAACAAACTGTAAGCAATAAGAAAAGTTTGACAACAAACAAATAGTATGCATGCGTGTGTGTGTCAAATATATGGTAGTGTGTGTAATATTTTTTATTGATTTAATGTATTTTTATGCATAATTTAAAAAAAAAATCATATTCTGCACTCCTTCCCTATATTCTCTTTAAGTGTGGGAAATTTCATACTCCTTCGTCCGCGCCATTTTCGTAAAAAGGAGTACAAAGTTTTTGCTTCCCGTATTAATATATAGATAACTAGCTGACCCGGCAAACGTTGTATTGCCTTAAATAAGATTTCTAGGGAAATTTTACTGTAGAAAAAAAAAACCTCATTTAACCACATAATACCTCATTATAAACAAAAAAAAAAAAAAAAAAAAATTTTTGGGGTGGACAACCCTCTTCATTTAGGGGTATGAAAAATAGATAGTAGCCGATTCTGAGACCTACTGAACATACTATTGATACACAAACAAAAACATGGCTGAAAAATGTATAGGAGTATTGTATAGCTCTCAAATATATTAAGTGTATAATCTATGATGTATAGTGAGTAAGTAAGACAGGAGACCGGCTTCGTCCTCATCCCTACTACGTGATGTTTGCTGGATGAGTGGTGACACCTGGCGGGGATATCTGATCGATCGATAGTTGATCAGTAGTCGACCGGCGAGCGCGGAAGATCAAATTCAATTTAAAAAAAATCATAATTAAAGGAACTTGAAATTATAAACTCTGAATAAGAATTTATCGTACTACAATTATAATATTTGATTGCTATCTTGCAACCTTATTGCGGATCTGTGCATAGAATAAAAAAAATATTAATCGGGATGGAAAAATAGGGGTTGATCGTATAAGAGTGAAAATTGAGTATGAGAGTAATATGATTTTTTTTATTTTAAGTCATGACAAAATAAAAATAAAAATGAAAATCTTGCCAAAAAAATCAAAAGTTTATAATTAACAAATACAAAATAGGGGTTGATCGTAGAGGGGTGAAAATTTCAGAGTAATATGAATTTTTTTATTCTACGTCATGACAAAATAAATAAAAAATTCTCGCAAAAAAATTAAAAGTTTTTAATTAGCAAATAAAAAATAAGGGTTAATCGTAGAGGGGTAAAAATTTAGGATTGTATGTATTTTTGTATGCTGTATCATAAAAAAATAGAAATTAAAATTTTTGTCTAAAAATTAAAAAAAAAAAATTTAGGGTTGGACTACCCCTAACATTTAGGGGGATGAAAAATAGATGTTGGCCGATTCTCATAGATACCGGATAAGCACAAAAAATTTCATCAAAATCGGTCAAGCCGTTTCGGAGGAGTATGGCAACGAAAACTGTGACACGAGAATTTTATATATTAGATAAATCTACAGGGGTTTTTACGGATGTTCCGTTATAACTACTGTACCATGCATCCGATTGGACTTGAAACTTGGTATCCATGTAGAAAATACATGTAATTAATGGATAGGCTAATATTTATATCAGTGTTGGACTCCCTACACCAGTTGGGGGACGTTAACGATGAGAATCTTTGGGGGGGGGGGGGGTTGAGAAATAATAATGTTAATTTTAAATAGCCAGCGAAGCGGACGGGTACAGCTGGTACAATATAAAAGCTTTCGTTCCGATCAGACTTAAAGGGTAGCAAATAGGTTTTCGTCGACATTGTTGAATACAACCTTGACCCTGGTCAAAGATTATCTAGTTATCTCACCTCTCTGTTAGTCTTGGGGTCTATAGTGGCAAACGGATGAGTCNTACAACCTTGACCCTGGTCAAAGATTATCTAGTTATCTCACCTCTCTGTTAGTCTTGGGGTCTATAGTGGCAAACGGATGAGTCTTCATTTTCATTCCTGGTCGTTTCAGCCATCGGTGGCACGCTGCGTCGTCGATCCTCATGCGCAGGTCCACGTTCGGTTCCAGCAAGTGTTGTATAAAAGTTTTGCAATCTGTGACGTGATTAGAATGTCGTTTGACGAAAGCGTCCGTGATCGATTATGCAAGACGCCCGGTTTTCTGATATCGACTGATGTAATAGTGGAAGGGCATGAATCATTAAGCAGGTGATAGTTTTATGCAAAATACATAGGGCACTACGTTTTGTGGACCACATTGGAACAATAGTGTTTTCGATCTTGGAGTAGATTCTGCGAGATTCTTGTAAGGGCTAGCAAGTTTCCAAAGGTTGAGCCCCAAAAGTTCACCTGCTAGTGCGCGCGTATTTAATAAGACCTTTAGGGCTACCTACGAAAGGAGGAAAAACCAATGCGTAATTACCGTTTTACGTCTGAAATCGGTTGCAAACGTGGAACAATCGTTGCTGAGAGTAAAATTGATATTTACAACTCCTGTCTCTAAGCGATCTACCAGTCCCGATTAAATCAGAAATTTGTCTTTGCCCTTTACGCGCTAATTTACAGAAAGTCTTAACGAATTTGAACCCGTTAGCAGTAGACAGCGGCTTGCCTTTGCCATTGGCATTTCTGATGTCCATGAGCGACGGTAATCACTTAATTCGACTTTTCTTTTTTTTGATTGGCGAACAAAATCAGGACTTCTTTCAAGGTTTCTCGAGAGGTTTTTTCTTTGAGTTATATGAAGATCCGATTTTTCGATTTATTCATAATAATGCATGTTTATTAGATAATGGTATTGACTATCAGGTGGGCGATAAGCTGAGCCGGCAATAAAAAAAATACATAAATTCACGTAATGTGTTTTGTTCACAGATCAATCACAGCAAGCAGATAAACAAGGAACAAAACGATAAATTAACGCCATTAACGTGTTTTTGTTTAACTCTTACTCAAAATGTTTAAACCGATAATTCAAATTGGATTATCAAGTTTTATATCCGAGAACTAATTTTAAAGCAGTTTCTGGACGTCGTATATTAGAAAGAGACCCGATTATAGTCGCGCTCTTTCGAACATTTTTGCAGTGACGTCATCAGTCGCACGACAGAGACAACGACAGCTGGTGGTCTTTGTCGATTTTGACAACACGAAATTCATTTGACGCAAACTGCGTCGTAAACGTTTAACGTATAAAAATAATATTAATTGTTTTCTAATTACCATTTAAGTCTTTAGTGAATAAGATGTTTTTTTAAAATGAATAAACATTTTTTGGAGTTTCGTTTAGTTTTTTTTTTTTTTAATAACGACTCGTTATGATCTTCCTTAAAATATAGGAATATATGATGGTTTCGTGTTTACACATCCGCCGCCATCCATCAAAGTTGATATGAAAAAAAAATGAGTATTTCTAATTTACTCATTCACCAGCACCCCGCCCGCCAATGGAGTAGAATTCATTCGCACTATAACTACTATTTATAGTTTAAGTACTATACTACTATATATACTGCATATACTATACTACTTTTTCCCCACTTATCATCTGGCTTTGGAATGAACTCTCGCACGGTGTTTCCCTTCTTTTTTTTCCCCTACCTATGCTGATAGCCTTCAGCTGATATTTCAGCTTCACCCTAACGTGTGTAGGTGAGCTCACGGGGCTCAAACCGGAGTGTTGCTAACACTGATCCTAGCAAGAGCAGTGCTTCGCAGAATCTACCACTGGATCGCAAACGTGACCCACTGAGAAGATCCGGCGAGAAACTCAGTGGGCTATGTCTATGGGTTAATTCGCTGACCGGTGAGGACGGTGACCGGTGCTTGTGGTGCCTAAAAGCACCGTTAATGGGGTGGTGTTTCCCAAGCGCTATGAAATGTCCTTCAAACGAGGCTTGTGGAGTGTACTCAATGGTAGGCAGCAACTTGGCCGTGCACCTGGCATTGCTGAAGTCCATGAGCGACGGTGATCACTATTTTATTTATTGCATAGATTTGTGGACGAGCTCAGCCCACCTGGTGTTAAGTGGTTACCGGAGCCCATAGACGTCTACAACGTAAATGCCGCCACTCACCTTGAGATATGAGTTCTAAGGTATCAGTATAGTTACAACGGTTGCTCCACCCTTCAAACCAAAACGCATTACTGTTTCACGGCAGAAATGAGCAGGGTAATTGTACCTACCCGTGCGGACTCACAAGAGGTCCTATCACCAGTAATTACGCAAATTATAATTTTGCGGGTTTGATTTTTATTAGACGATGCTATTCCTTCACCATTGAAGTCAATCGTAAACATTTGTTAAGTACGCATTTCATGAGAAAAATTGGTACCCGACTGCGGTATTCGAACACCGTTGCATCGCTAGATACAAATGCATCGGACGTCTTACTCTTGAGGCCACGACTACTTCAAACTAACTACACTAACACGACACTAACCATCAAGTGGGCCGCATGCTCGACTGCCTATAAAGACCATAAAAACCTAGTTGCGGCAACGTTAATCGGTGTTAGAGAAGAATTTTATATCGTAGCTTGAATCTGGATGTGAATGTACAGTAGCTACAGTTGATTGACCTACCGTTAGAGACGCAGGCCAGGGCCGCCCGTTGTTTCCTGGTAAAGCCGCGGGCGATGGCGGCGCGGAGCTGCGGGCGCGACCCCCCGCCCAACCCCCCGCCCGACCCCGCGCTGAACGGCAGGCCGCCTGTCACCATACCATACACGATCACACCGCTGGAAAGTGTACGTCGCCATTACTGATTAATTAACTGGGTGGTGCAGTAATTGGCGCCCCAGACCGGACCTGGCCGAGAGTGGGTCGATAAACATTTTTATGATGAATTTGTTTGTTCATTGTCAGAGTGTTTAATGTATATAAATTTAGGACTCAGAAGAAAAACCATTAAAAAAACAACAATTTAAACATTACAAAATTTGTGATTCTTAGACTCTAATCAATCGACTCTTAATTCAACATAGACACTAAAATAAATCACCAAACAACCAGAGTAGAGAAAGTAACACTTTGGTATTCTCTTGACTCAAAGCACATACACTCTACATTATTTTTACAATCGTGTTTTTTAAATATACATTTTTAAAAGTACTAGTGGTCCCGCAGCAATCGAAATTCGACTATAATTAGTTGAAATTATAAGCTTGAATATTATTAAGGTTCTATTGTCAAATACTATTATATTTCTATGATCACAGGTTTCGCCAAGACTACACTATATACAAATAATATTAAAGGCAAACAATATTAATATGTGTGTCGTATACATGGTAGTGTGCGTAATGTTTTTTTTTATTAAGTGAATTTTTTATGCATAAATAAAAAAAAATAGTTTCTGCACTCCTTCTCTATACTCTCTATAAGTGTGGGAAATTTTATACTCCTCCGTCCGCGCAATTTTCGTAAAGAAGGATACAAAGTTTTTGCTTTACGTACTAAGATATAGATACTAGCTGACCCGGCAAACGTTGTGTTGCCTTAAATAAGATTTCTAGGGAAATTCTAGTGTAGAAAAAAAAAACCTCATTCAACCACATAGTACTTCATTATAACAAAAAAAAAATTTATCCAAAAAATAAAAAATAAATGTTTGGGGTGGATGACCCTTATCACTTAGGGGTATGAAAAATAGATAGTAGCCGGTTTCAGAGCTACTGAATATTCTATTGATACACAAATAAAACCAAAAAAACATGGCTGAAAAATGTATATTATTGTATAGCTCTCAAATATATTAAGTGTATAATCTATGATGTATAGTGAGTAAGTAAGACAGGAGACCGGCTTCGTCCTTATCCCTACTACGTGATGTTTGCTGGATGAGTGGTGACACCTGGCGGGGATAACTGATCGATTGATAGTTGATCAGTAATCGACCGGCGAAGGCGGGAGATCAAATTGAATTTTAAAAAAAACATAATTAATGGAACTTGAAATTATAAACTCTGAATAAGAATTTATCGTACTACAATTATAATATTTGATTGCCATCTTGCAACCTTATTGCGGATTTGTGCATAGAATAAAAATAATAATAATTGGGATTAAATAGGGGTTGATCGTATAAGAGTGAAAATTGAGAGTAATATGATTTTTTTTATTTTAAGTCATGACAAAATAAAAAAACAATTACATATTGCCAAAAAAATTAAAGCTTATAATTAACAAATAAAAAATAGGGGTTGATCATAGAAGGATGACAAATTGAGAGTAACATCAGATTTTTTATTTTAATTCATGACAAAATAAAAATAAAAATGAAAATCTTGCCAAAAAAATTTAAGTTTATAATTAACAAATAAAAAATAGGGGTTGATCGTAGAGGGATGAAAATTTCAGAGTAATGTGAATTTTTTTATTCTAAGTCATGACAAAATAAAAACAAAATTCTTGCAAAAAAATTTAAAGTGTTTAATTAGCAAATAAAAAATAAGTGTTGATCGCAGAGAGGTGAAAATTTAGCGTTGTATGTATTTTTGTACGCTGTATCATAAAAAAATAAAAATAAAATTTTTTGTCTAAAAAATAAAAAACAAAAATTAGGGGTGGACCACCCTTAACATTTAGGGGGATGAAAAATAGATGTTGTTCGATTCTCAACCCTGACCGATATGCACGCTAAGATTCACGAAAATCGGTCGAGCCGTTTCGGAGGAGTTCAGTCACGCACACCGTGACACGAGAATTTTATATATTAGATAAATCAGTCTCTGGTTCTCACAGTACAAGGAATCCAACTTTAGGGTCTGACGTCCTTATGCGACTTGTCCCCCGTTTACACAAATATTCTACGAATCCTATTACTAATGGGGGGACGTGCGCTGTTTAAGTCGTTTTAATTGGCTATTCGAAGGGGGGTTATACGATCATTTCAACTCACATGCTCCAGAGGTCGACCTCCGGCCCGTATTTCCTTCCGTCGATGAAGAGTTCCGGCGCGGCGTACTCCAGGGAGCCGCAGGGCGTCCTCAGCCCGCCGCTCGAGCTCCAAAGATTCGATAACCCGAAATCTTGAAACACGTAACGTATCTAATACGCACTTAACAAACGTTCACGATTGACTTCCACGGTGAAGGAATAACATCGTGTAATAAAAATGAAACCCGCAAAATTATAATTTGCGTAATTACTGGTGGTAGAACCTTTTGTGAGTCCGCTCGGGTAGGTATCACCGCCCTGGCTATTTCTGTCGTGAAGCAGTAATGCGTTTCGATTTGAAGGGTGGGGCAGCCTTTGTAACTATACTGAGACCTTAGAACACATATCTCAAGGTGGGTGACGGTATTTACATTGTAGATGTCTATGGGCTCCAGCAACCACTTAACACCAGGTAGGCTGTGAGCTCGTCCACCCATCTAAGCAATAAAATCTTCAAAACGCAATGGGAATTAAGTGGTTAAGGTGCAAGTTCTACGTACTGACAGTTAAAGGAAAGAGCAACAGTTTCTTATGGGATTATTGCTTGTCTGCTTAAAACTAAACGCGCATTGTCAGTCGCACGTACCCTATGTCTATTACAGGGGAATGAATAATTATAAACTTACCGACTATTTTTATAAACTGCTTTGTACTGTCCAACATGATGTTTTCCATTTTAAGATCCCTGTGTTTAGAGACGTTACATTTATTAATATGTACGATATTGTACGCGTGTTTATCGAAATACGTTTGGAGGGGTATGAAGAATTTTCATCAATAGATAGGTTGGTATTACCATTTATTACAGCTATTTTTTTCCCTACCTATGCTTGATAGCCTTGAGAGGCCATTTCAGCTTCTCCTTGCGTGTAGGTGAGCTCACGGGGCTCAAACCGGAGTGTTGCTAACACGAGCTCTCTCAAGAGCCGTGCTGCGCAGAATCTACCACCGGATCGGAAATGCGACCCACTGAGAAGATCCGGCGAGAAATTCAGTGGGCTGTGTCTATGGGTTAATTCGCTCGTCGAGCCCTTCGTCGCAAGCGACGGGTTCACGATGACGGTGACCGGTGCTTGTGGTGCCTAAAAGCACCGTTAATGGATCAGGAGGATCCGTAATGACGCGCTTTGGGCGACGTAAACGGTTTACCATTCGGACTACAGGATCGGGTATGAGTAATAGTTAAGTATCTGACAATGTATTGGAATAAAAAGAAAGAATCTAATGCACTTACCGATGCACCACGGCACGTGCATGCATGTGCCGAACGGCGGAGACGAGCTGTGCGGCGAGAGCACGTGCCCTGTGCTCGGGGAGGCCCCGCGCGCCCCCGCGAGCCCCCAGCACGTGCGAGCACAGGTCGCCGCCGCCCGCCGCCTCCATCACCACGTACAGGCGCGGCCCGTGCTGATCACCACACACAAACACACCAACGCAGTAGCATCGGGTGGTAGGACCTCTTGTGAGACCGCACGGGTACATGCGTGTCTCAGTTTTTAAAGTACAGTTATTATTATTATTTTATTGCTTAGATGGGTCGACGAGCTCACAGCCCATCTGAGGTTAAGCGGTTACTGGAGCCCATAGACATCTACAACGTAAATGCGCTACCCACCTTGAGATATAAGTTCTAAGGTCTCAGTATAGTTACAACGGGTGCCCCACCCTTCAAACCGAAACGCATTACTGCTTCACGGCAGAAATAGGCAGGGTGGTGGTACCTACCCGCGCGGATTCACAAGAGGTCCTACCACCTATTCAATTTTTGCCGTCACCCACCTCGCGACGTGAAAAAGGTCGCACCAAAATAGGTTTTTACCATCATCGTTTCGTACAGAGCAGCGATGCAAGGATGCCGCAGTCTCGCCATCACTCTTGGTTCGCGATGCAGGTTCCTGCGTGCGTATTCCTCTTTTATACATGTTAGGTCTATCACTTTAACTGCCACCTGAAAGGCAAGGATTGACGACACCTTAGTAGTACTGTATTGGTGTAATGCACGATTTTTTTTCTACCTATTTGAGTAACCTCGATGGGTTATTCTAGATTCGCCGAACTAGTAGGTGAGCTCACGGGGCTCAAACCTGACAACGTTGCTAACACGAACCCTAGCAAGAGCAGTGCTTCGCAGAATCTACCACCGAATCGGAAACGCGACCCACTGAGAAGAACCGGTGAGAAACTCAGCTGTGTCTGTGGGACGAAATTGACATAGGTACATACGCTGTTATATTGCCTTAAGAGGCATACGAACGTGTGACGCGGTCAAGCCAATAGTTTGTGTTTAGGGTTGCTATACTCGTAGGCTTTGCTTGAAGACGCATTCAGGTCTATTCCACTTTCGTAGAAATTGAAAAGAATCCTAGTTGTACAATACTTGAGTTCGGTGGTAAAATCAGCTGGCACACAGCACAATTTGTTTACCTAGTTTATTTATTTAGCCCAGATTCCTGGTGGGAGGACCTCTTGTGAGTCCACACAGGTAGAAGTAGTAATGCGTTTCGGTTTGAAGAGCGGGGCAGCTGTTGTAACTATACTGAGACCTTAGAACTCATGTCAAGGTGGGTGGCGGTATTTGACGTTATAGATGTCTATGGGCTCCGGTAGCCATTTAACACCAGGTGGACTGTGAGCTCGTCCAAACGTCTATGCAATAAAAAAAATAAAATAAAATTAAGTATAAGTTGTGAATGATAGCACGGTAGAAATTAAATATTATAAATTTTTCATAGCACGGGCACTCGGCGAGTCAAAATACCGTAATTGTCGTGCTAGTTCACATGTCAATACATGGTCAAAAAGAAATGTATTGCCCCTGTAGGCAGACAAGCACACCGTCCACCTGATGATGAGTGGTTACCATCGCTCGTGGGCATCAACAATGCTAGGGGCAGAATCAAGCCTCTGCCTATGTGAGCAAGTCTTAATTTATATACATACGCGTGTACGAAACGCCAGTTCAATGTTTACGATAAAATATAATTAGATTCTTTAATGTATACCAAAAATTCTGATATTCTTATTTCGCAGATACTTATTTTTTAATTAAAATGAAAACCTAATTAATGCACCGAAATACGCACAGGTACATAAACCTCTAAAACCATTAATACACCTATTCTGTCTGGTGTCGATGAATAGGAGTCGGATGTCTTTTCTAATAGATTAGCAGCACGGTGATCCTTAGATATTTCCTTACCTTAGCGCCTATAATCCTGTGTGTGGCCTCTTCGACGCGTGCGAAGTGTCCCTTCCCCAAAACTCTGCCGGTCATCAGATAGTTCCCAACACTGTACACTTGATTCTTACTCTTTGTCATGGCTCTCATACTGTTCACACTTTAATTTCGATGCATAATATTTGTTTACGATAAAAATTAAGAAAAATTATTTTAATATCACACGGCTCTTATTTACTTGTAAACTTCATACAAATGTCTAATCGGCTCTTCATTTGTTTAGTAGTTCGAAATCGGAACGACCGTCGACTTGACATTTAATTGGAAGCACTATTTATATCGAATCGATTCGAGACTTACTGGTTTTCGTAAGAGCTTTGTCTATTTTATAATGAGCCGGTATTACCGCGCCGGGACCACGGCTATTTCTTCCGCAAAGGAGTCGTGTTCCGCTCGCGAGGGTAGCTTTTACCATTTCGAACCAAAGTCTACAGAGGAGTGTCGATATGCGCGACGCCTAAAGCTTTCGGTGACTGGTTAGCATCATGAAGGCTCCTTCGTCCGAAGGACTAAAACTAAAACTGCCGTGTTGCGATATGTGAACGCCTTTTATTTAAGACTAGCGACCCTCGCTTCGCTTCGGAAACTATAATTTATTATTGATTTCTCCACTATTTAATGGACGTTATTATACATATAAACCTTCCTCTTCAATCACTCTATCTATTAAAGAAAACCGCATCCAAATCCGTTGTATAGTTTTAAAGATTTAAGCATACATAGGGATATAGGGACAGAGAAAGCGACTTTGTTTTATAAAAAATTTATATATTTGATTTATAAGTTGTGATATATCGTTGTTGCGTGGTGTGAGTTTCCGCAACGCTCCAACTATTCAGTGGGTAGTACATTATAGTGTAGCGCTAGCTTGTTTAATTCTTAACTAGTGGTAATAAGCATTGTGAGCCTGGATAGGCTAGTACCACCATCCTATTTTTGAAGAGAAATAACCACGGGTTCCCGCTAAAGTAAAGGAAATTTATCCAAGGTAGCGGAGACTTTAATCTCAGGTATTCAGGAGGGGCAACAGCATTCAGTTGCGAAATGGCAGCTTCGGTAACAACGAAATCCTGACATAGGCTGGGTCGTGAGCCAGTCTGCCATCTGCTCTTATCAAAAAAATGCAGATAGACGCAATTGTGGAGTGCACTGAACAGAATTTCACAAATTCATATCTCATACTTCAGAGAATATTAAGTTTTTTTATTTTTTTTATTGCTTAGATGGGTGGATGAGCTCACAGCCCACCTGGTGCTAAGTGGTTACTGGAGCCCATAGACATCTACGACGTAAATACGCCACCCGCCTTGAGATATGAGATCTAAGCTCTCAGTATAGTTACAACAGCTGCCTCGCCCTTCAAACCGAAACGCATTACTGCTTCACGGCAGAAATAGGCAGTGGTGGTACCTACCCGCGCGGACTCACAAAAGGTTCTATCACCAGTAAGTGACCGTATTGAATTTGAGAAATTTGTTTTTGTGTAGCAGTGTCCCTCAAGATGCTTTAGCCCCAAATATGGCGCTAAGATCTGGTTCTTCATTCTAACATTTTTCACATATTACCACGCACATCCTCTCCTCGCAAACTAGTAAAGTGATTTCCGCAATGAAAAACCGAAATAGCTTTCAAAATATCTTTTTATTAACAAATTATAAAATCGATATATTTAAGGATAAACCCCAGTACAACAAAATAACGATATACAATCTTTTTAAGCAAAAATGTTTGTTTATAAAATAGTGTTTTTAAACGCTCTTTCTACCTACCTAAAAGTATTATTTTCTCAACTTCAGCTTAAAAATCTAATTGTTGTTAAAAACTGGTATAAAAAGTATTTTTTAATAAGCAGCTAGTGCTCTCATGGCCCTCTCTGTGTTAAGTGTTTACCAGAGCCGAAGGACATTAACAATGTAAATGCCGCCACACGAGACAACCTTGAGACACGAGTTTCAAGTATCAGTTCTATAGTACAATGGCAGTAACGTCTATAGTATATAATGAAATCGAAGTCTCCAGTGTGCGTAGTGCAAGTTTTTAACGTCCTCGATAGCGTAAAAGTTAAGTCAAAATTATATAGAGTTGGAACGTTTGCCGCTAGGGGCGCTGTTTTAACTGCATACAAATATGAGTTAACTTTTACGTTATCGAGAACGTTAAAAAACTCGCACTACGCACACTGATGTAGGGGTGGGGTCATATTTTACACATTCACTCTGAATCACCGGTCCTAACGAAGTGAGCGTTTATTACAAAAAACCCGAGTTCAATTAGCGAATATGGTACCGTAACTGGACCAAATCAGTTTGTATCTGTACAGAGCTGTCCAGTAACCGACAATCGGTATAGTGGGACGCGAGATCGGCACGCCGTTCGCCTTAAACGCTTCCAACAAGCCATCCTCAATCTTATCGACAACGGTACCGAGGCCAAACAAAGCTGACCGGATGCATTCATACGAAAAGTCCTCGACCATAGGACGCAGTTCGGTAGTTCTCTTCAAGACCTTAATTAACACGTTACCGTGTGTAATTAAAGAACCAGATTGTTCGTCGACTAATCTCTGAGCGAACTCATTCTCGCGGTACGTCTCGGCGTTCGACTCAATGCTCCCTATGTATCCTTGCAGCGAAGTCAGTAAGGCATGTTTACGTTCACCGAAACTTAATTTAGTCCAATCCTTGACTAATTCTTTAATTTCGCCGCCATTTTCCGCGTTTCGGACACGAATAGGGAATATTATATTGAAAAGTGCAACGGGAGACGCGAAATTGGCTAGATCGTTCGACCAAACGACGTTCGAGCAACATTTCAGAGCAACCTCGTCCGCTTCGGCCACGTCGCTGGCCCATAAGCTGAGGTAATAAGGTTTGCAATTGTCCAGCAACTGCAACAGCTCTTTTGTTGTCCTGTAGGCTTCTATCGTGACCCCGGTGACGTCACCGCGCCCCGTGTAATCGAAGATAAACTTTTTCCCCTCGATTTCGTACGTAAGGTCACTTAATTCGATATCCGGCTTTTTCTCAGAGCATCCCAAGTCGTGTTTCCACTTCATGGCTCTTTTGAAATGGTCGTACACGTTTTCCTGCACTAAAATAGATCGCAGTCTCCAGGGTGCCTGAAATAAGGATTGCTCACCAATCAGGATATAAATCCATGAAATTTGCTGCAATGAAGGGAGGTTAAGGTACGCCGTTGTGACACGCCTGAGCATTACGGTGACCACGCTCCATGAGATGGGACGCACGTCTGTAAGCTAAGGTAATAATTATATACTCACATTTGATGATGAAGCGATGAACATGTCAACGGCAGAGTCCAGATCGCACCGGGCTGTGACAACAGCAGTGGTTCCTGTATTTTAAGTATTTATTTATTTTTATTTTATATATTTTGTACACACAGCTGTTAGAAGAAACACGACAATAATGATACAGAGTACAAGGGTACTACTTATTTCATGTTGAAATCTCTTCCAGTAGGCCCGCAGAAGGAAAGAAGAATTAGGAACACAAACCTAGTGCATACAGTAAACATTACATATAATAATATATACATATTACAAGATACAAAACAATATATATACATACAAATACACACACACACACACACACACACACACACACACACACACACACACACACACACACACACACACACACACACACACACACACACACACACA